ACAGTCCAAAGTTTTCAATTATAATTTGATTTTATTATTATCTTCTTATGTCTTGATAATAAGAGTACGATATATACAACACTTATCAACAGTTGCGAGCAAATTATTGCCGTACAACGTGTGAAAGCGCGATAAGTTAAGCCGCACGGTGGGCTTCAAGACGCCCCATCTGCGCGAGCAATGGTAGAAAAGGATGAATGGGTTTAAACAGACGTGTATGCGATTAACGTTGTGCAAGCAGACACGTGCTACGCGCGCGGTCGGCTTACAGCGCGCGTCTGTTCGTTCCATAATCTGATAATATCCGTTCGGTAGCAGCGGGAAAATATTTCATCGTTTTTGCACCGACGTATATATTCACTATGAAACAATGACGCCCGTGAATTCCCGCGAGGCGCGCCGAGGAAGACCCCCCATATCGCTATAAATTAACAATATGCAATTTTATGGCAGCGCAATATTTGCGATGTTCGGACAGCGCGATATTTTCATTAGCCCGAGCTTAAACGGGTCGGCACGTTAAAACACCTTATTCCACTGTACCAACTATACCGTCGGCATCCTCGAATCTTGTATCAACTTAATTACGTTGAAGACGGGTAGGCAAAGAGACAAATTGTAATCACTTAACGACTATGTGTACGCAATGAGATTCTCCTCATAAATTAACATCCAAATATAAAATTAATCTCGTATGTAATGACCAATTAATGCCCCAGCGCGGAAATTCCGTCAAATTCCGCGCGCTCAATGACTCAATTATTTCGAGCCGTGACCACGATCGTCTTAATAGTTGCGTGTACCGGGTACCTATGATCTCCCCGTACGATATCCAGCTTACCCCTCATTATGTTCGACCCTGTAACGTGACGTACATGTATCGCGCGTGTACTTAGTGGGATCAACGGCGTATTACGGTGCAACATATGCGTCACGTATACGCAACGCGGTGGCTTTACTAAAGCAAGGGGACTAAATAGCTAAAAGATATCGCTCGCTCCGGAGATTCGACTGGCGCTAGTTATATCCCGGTTGGACTTTATCGAGCTTATGTCGAAACACGCTCATTGCTTTCTTCTCATACAACCAAGCTGCATTTCGCGTTTACAATCGGAGTATATATATACGCGCACGCACGTGTCTGTCTTTGCATTACGCGCGTGCATGCGCATTAGGAAATATACATACGTACGTTTCCCGAGAGAATTATCTAATTCTAGTGTACAACTCAGCTCTAGCGTATTTTCATAGATTACCGATGATCAGCGATCAAAATAGGATCATAATAATAAGAGATACGCTTCGAAGAGATGCGACAAATAGAATGGAAATGCTGTTAGTTGCATGAATAAGTTGCCACACACAGGTGATTCACGATGAAGATCAAACGCTAATTAATTAGGAATTAATGTTGAGAGAATTCTCATTATCATTCAATTGGAGATTGCGTATCATGTCTCTTTCTCTAAAGGAACTTAACAAGATTTGAAAAAATGTACTAAATTTACAAATGCCTCTCGTCTACTGACATAAAACAGTTAGTTGCATGAGTAAGTGCCGCACACTGATGATTCACGATGGAGATCAAACGCTAATTGATTGGGAATTAATGGCGAAAGAATTCTCATTATCAATCAATTGGAGATTGCGTATCATGTCTCTCTCTCTAAAGGAACTTAACAAAACTTGAAAAAATATACTGTAAATTTATAATATACAATGTGTCTCTCATCTACTGACATAAAACATAATTGACATTCTTCGGGGAAGTTCTTGTGTAATGTTTGCTTTGAAAGTAAACTTAATCTCTCTCATAGTCACGTACACACATACGCACGCAACGTGAATCCTGAAAGCATGCTGGCATGCTGAACAGCGCACATACCGAGGAATTTAGCCGCAGCCTTAATTGCGGAGACGTTCCTCATCGAGAAGAAGGTTGGCAGGAACTAGGAGAATGACGTCGACTCTTCCGCGAGCGAAAGATGGAGTCGTAACACACAGTGAAAGACCGTCTCATTCGAGGCATCACAACTGCATGCCGTTCATAGCACTCTCCGGTGGCGCAACATGCGCGCAAGGATTTCTGCCTATATCGCCTTCCGTTTCTCGTTTCGCAGTTGTTGGGAGATACTTTGCGTAGTGCGTGCGCGAGACTGTATTTCGCCGTCTTGCAGCGTGTAAGCCCGTGGGACGACCGTGTATATTATACGTGACGCATCGGCGTGAATAAAGGTGGCAAGATTGCACCTGTAAAACGATCGATGAGCGGATAAAGGCGAATTTATTGCGACAGCGCGACGTCGGCGACATTCACCTTCGGATTCGAAGCGGAATCGATCATGCGTGACTGTATCCGCGTTGTATACCGCATTAATACTTCAGACGCTGCGCGATTTGTCTTTGCCCGTCCTATCGGTTTACATACGCCACAATAACGGATACACCGTCTGCTCGCTTTTATACACAATTTAATGTATCACTTTTGAGTCCCCGATATGTATGCCGATAGAGAAACAATGAGATGAAGAATCAATAGAGAATAACATTTTACTATATAAATAACGAAAATATCGTATAAAACTATGAAGTACTTAATATTTTCGTCATTAATCACAGCTAAACATTGTGAACAGTGAATTGCCGCTCGACCATCGCGCATTACATATAGCTAATGGAATCACCACAACGATCTTCGCAAGGCGATTTACTCTCGCTCTATCATCTTATTCAGTTATCCTTCAGTTGCCGCGCGCGAGCGCATCGCTCAGTGAACGCCGATTTTTCCCGCTTGTGAAAGCACACTCTCTCGTACGAATTAGCCGGGACCGAAGCGTCCGAGTCCGATCGTCGGTATATAATGTACTGCGCGCATGATACATACGGAATCTCGATAGATATAAAAGGTCGACGTAACAGCTCCTTGCGAATGCGGGGAAGGAGAGGCTTTTCTTCCTTTTGCTTTAAGCCACCTGCGGATCGTTCATCATACCAGTAATGCATCTACCACCTCGCGTTTCTCTCGGTCTCTTTTCCGTCGACGATGCAAGGGATGATCTTCGACGCGAATGGGAGAGAGCCGCGACCAGTGCCGCGCTCTTCTCTTTGCCTCCCTCGGCTTGCCATAACCCGCCGCCGTTTCTCTGACACCCCACCTGATACACCCTACCGAGGAGCTCTCCGAGCTATGCAACCCCCGGTAATGCGCGCATCAATAACCTATCATATCCAACCTTCTGGATGCGGTAGTGGCGTGCATCAGTTCCCGCCTTTCCTCCTTTCCTCCCGCGCCAACACACGTTCGCCCTCCGATCTCAGACGCGTCGATCTCCTCGAGCTTGCAGCTAGATACTTCTCCTGAGGGTCTTTACTATGCATACTCCTTGGAACGGATGTTATGTAAATCGGGGCTCGAAAATCGTTTTCTGATAGCAGCTCGGAAAAAATCCGGCGATTTTATGTCGGTGCACCTCTATCCGAAACGTGTTGCACATGTGTGACTATGTATAAAAATATGCGTAGAGAGAGATTATACATTTTTTTTGTTATAATCCGTTTTTTTGTTTACTGTTGTAATATTATTGTAAAAGATTAGGTTTTTAAGAGACTTTGCTACAGAGATAAATTCTCAATATATGAACATTTTTTGTATGCGCACTTTGTATACCTTAAAAAAAACAAAATCAAATTTTATCGTTATAAATAATAACGAAGTTACATATAGTACGACAAATTTAAGCGTCAACACATGAAATTCAATATAAACTTCAATACGATAAATCTATATATACAATAATTTTAAATCTAAAATATTACAAAATGGAGTTCACAATGTATTTTTAATACTTGTATTATCGTATCAACAAAATATGTAAAGAGAAACAACATTACAAAAAGAATGCTTTTATTACGTGTTAATGGAACGACCGTTTGTGGTTCTTTCTCTTTCTTTCTACGTGACACTCTATTAAAGTGCTATTTCGCAACAGGGATCGCGACGCATTTGCAATTTCGTCTCATGGTCGAAAAATCGTCCAAAAATTCTCGCTTTGCCGTCGCAGAAACGAGGAAACCGTGCGCGTTGCCACCGCCGATGCGTTTCGACACGACGCTTCCGTTGATATTCACTCGTCGGAGTGCGAGACGAATATTATTTTTGAGGGTACGCTTCTACGCCCGCAAAAATTGCCAATTTTATCACTTATACTGTTCAGTTTCGGGGAAAATTTAATGCTCAAACAAAACCGATCGTGCGAAAATTCTAGCAAAGAGATTTACGCATTGTGCGTGATAACAAAAATATATATATATATTTTTTAAATTATTTCTTTGCACGTAAGAAAAAAGCACGTAGTGCTTATCATAGGTCAGTTAATTCTACTTAAGCAGCAAAAGTGCATACAATGCTGATAGACCCATTCCAGATCTTCACGACTTTGAGATGAAATTCTGCGCATACGAGAGGAGCGACTAATAAGTATCCGAAATGACACGTAGACGTGTCATATTGTCGTTGACAAGTTTCATCCTTCAGAAGAACGAATATCAAACGCTGACTCATTATCGCACGTAGCGTTTGTACGACAGCTTGTCATTTCGGATATTTATCAATCGCTCCACATATTGGAAACGCGATCGGAGATATTGAATTACGGAGATATCGCTTTTGCGGTCGATATATAAATACTCTCGCGTTACGCAACGTGTACTCTCCCCGTAGGAAACGTTAGCAATTTGTACGAGAAAAGTTTTCTCTCAATAAATGCATTTCTTCTCTCAGTACAAAAATACTAAAAAATGTAATTCTATCTTTGGAAGCGTTCGCCGAGAAACCATTTTTATTAGTAACGAGTTTAATTGTCACATAAAATTTAAAAAATGTCCTGAACAATGTACGATAATCTGATGTTTACTTCATCGTAGAATTATTGAATAATGAAAAAGCGTTATGGTTTCTCGACCACAGATGTTTTAGTATCAGAAAAAAGTAAGATACTTACGTTATGTGTTCTGAGAATCATGTGTCTGTTCACAGGATCGACCTCGCTTCGTTCACTGGCATAACACAAGTGCGCGTTACCGATTAACTGTAAAAAAAAGAGGAAACGTGCGCTCGCATAATAAGCTCTGACATCAATGTAAAAGTCTTGCTCGCATAAAAAGAGAAGCCCACACAATTTAAATGTAGTTCCGGCGAGAACTGGCTGGCAAACTGCTAAAAACCGATTCGGTCACCGATAAAAATCTCGGAAGTGCTATAGACAAGCACTTCCGGTTTCGAACTTTCCGCATTGAATTCAACGATAAAGCCTTCCAAACTTCAACGGCATGTTTCAGTCTTCGAGAGCTACTTCGACTCGATTTCACGACTTTTTCATAGCGTGTTCGGTAGAACAAAAAAGAAAAAAAAAGAAGTGCGCGATAAAATTGTGATAATTGGCAAATTACTTATTAAAATGTGTACATTATGCAGTAGAAACAAAAAAAAATTACGTAAAAAGTAACGTACGATCAGTATGGTTTGCGCTCATAGAGCTGCTCGGTATCAATTTACACAACTCTGTAATTAAGTGCAAGCACATAAAGCACAACATATATATTACACACAGTAAATAATTAACTCTATATTTAATTATTTCGCTAGTTATTGATTGCAAATAGCATTAATAAGATATCAGTTGCAGATATTGCGTACATAATAGCATTCACACTTAATATCAGAAAGATACCAACAAATTCTGTTGAAACGTGCTACATTATATTAGTATGTTTATATGTGTGTATGTAGAGATACACAAAGTGTAATTAAATAAACAAGCGCTATTTATGTGAACAGCGCTGAACACAGAAAGCGATAAACGACTATTTGGTTGCGCGTCAAAAGTCAAACGACAATTAATTTTATAAACCACCTGAACGTTGTAGTATTTTCTTTATAACTAAATGAAAGATTTAAAAAAGAATTATGGAATTATCTACTAAAACAATCAATAATTTTATTTTGATAATAAAATAGTTTATTGCGATTGTTTATTGCTACTAATTTTCTGTAACGTAATTTATACCGAGAATTTATGTACACATGGTCGCAATATAGTCAAACACAGCAGCAACAATATTTCCATCTATCAACAATAATTAGATCTAACTGCCGGCAATAAATAATTCGAAAGCATAAATGTTCAGGCATTTCTGGTCTATTCCGACTGAGAAGAAATAGGACGGCACTTCCCATAAGTTTCTGCGACGGCGCGATATTAATAACAAATTAACATGAGTAATTAGGTAATTAGAAAGACGCTAATTGGACCGGTATACTAAGTACACTTTAATTATTGTTCCGCGCCGATTAATTATGCATATTCTAATTAGCCGCTCGAATAAACCGGTCTGCTTATACGTTGCTCGGCCGCCAATTCGAGCATTTCAGGCGAACAGACGCGATAAGCGAAGTTTCCTCACGCGGTGTTTCCTTTTTTTTTTTTTCAGAGCGCGTTTCGTTGTCGAGTGCATCTACTAATTACTCGGAATAGCGCGTTGGTTAGTGCAACATAGCGTTGAAAACGGTAAAAGCGCCGCGCAGTCGAAACGGTCCTTCGCACTTTTCCACCCGTTAAGTAATTTCGAACGTCTCTAAATACCGCAACTTTTAACTTTTTGCAGGAATATTCATTCCGGAGTAGTCAAAATAGATACCATTATTTATTACATTTGACTGTATCTGTTCTAATGCATTGTTATTGTATATTTTTAAACAACAAGCAGAATTTTAGTTCAGAATTTTTTTTTAGTTCCAATTTACACGTATATATATTTTTCTTATTCGGAAAATAATTGTTTTCTTGTTTTTTTTCAATTAGTTATATCGTACACAACAATATCGCCGGCCAATTATTGAACGATTACTTGTATATCGGTAGTTTTTTCTTTTTTTCGAACACACCCTATGCATAGATACCGTGAATCGGGTCATTCAAGCGGGTGGTTGCACAACGAAACGACCCGGCGAAATGGCTGAGCTTATAGAAAATCCGACGAGAGGAAGCGATCCGCCGAGCCGAAAGGGATTCGACGCCCCGGAATCTTCAGTATGCCGACGAAGACACCATGAAATAGCAAAGGATGGAAGTTCGCCGCCCGAGTATTCCAGAAGGCGAGCGCGTCGCGACTGGACGATTGCCAAACGGAGTAACATTGAGAGCGCGCTCATTATGAAAGTTGATGCTAGTGCGGATGTTGTTTTGCAATTCTCCGGGAGCCTGGCACCTTCTTTTTGCGCGCGTTTGTCGAAAGTTTCGAATTTCCGGGTCTCTGCGATGCCGCGACGTGCTGGCGGAGATTGCTAAGCTTGGGGTAAGCGGCGCGGGAGTTTTTGCCGATTCGCTACGGGCTGTATACCGAAAGAGGTGGATGATTCTGTTACGCTGGTTCATGGATTGATTTCTTGTTGCTCGTTGCAGATCAGTGCAATATCAATTTCACTGTGCAAACGACCGTAAAAAACAACGCTGACAAGAAAAAAAGAAAGATGCGTATCGAGGTGCAAAATCGCTTGACAAGAGAAATGAACAAATAGTCTACAAAAGTACAAAACAAAAATTCTAGCAAGATAAAAAATTAAGTAAATCGGAAATAAGTAATTACTAAGCTATATATATATTTTAGAATCGATATAAATACATTGGGTACACGCTATATCAATGAGAATTTAAGAGCCAAGAATTAAGAAAACACGTGCATAGGATACTTAGAGTAAAAATAAATTTGACGAAAATGATCAAATGTTTCATTTTAAAATACTGCTACGTGATATATGAACAGCTTTCGTTCAAAAGTCAAATGTCAATTAGCATGATCGTTAGAGAGAAATAGATAATTACGTTAAATAGATAATTACCAGAAATAGATAATTACGTTGCAACAATCGCTACTGCGTTCAAAACTAATTCTAAGAACTTCAAGACAAAAAATTGTAAAGTTGTATTTCAATTCTTAAAAGTAAACGTACTAAAATATAATACATATTGAAAAAAAATAATTATATAAAAAAATAAAAAAGTAAAAACCGAATCTATACTGTTGTAATCTATAATTGTGGTTGTTCGTTCTACATTGTATCGTATTCTGTTAAATAAAACAGTAATTAAGTGACTACGCAAAAGAGAAATAAAATATAAAACTTTCTTAAAAATATGTAATCGGTGCAAATCAATAACTTATTCATGAATGTAGATGAACAAAATCAGATCCATTACGATAAATGTACGAGTGAATGAAGTAAGTTTATTCGCGCTCCGCCAGAGAGAGCTGCAAAAATCAATGAACCTGTAGATAAGTTCTCGCAAGGTTATCCCGATTTGCGCACACTTCTCAGCCAATAAAGGTTCTGTCTTGAGCAACGACCTTGCAGCAGGTCGGCAGCACCCACGTGGCTATGTCGTGGCTACTCGAGAACGTAATAGAACTTTTGTTACAATAACAAGATATATATAAGAATAGTTCAGCAAATAGTTCTTTACACAATAGCATAGCTATGTAGAAAACTTCTTTACCATAAAATATGCAGTCAAGGAATTGTTCTTGTTATATACAATATGGTATAAATAAACATACATTATGATTTGATAATTGTTGACTAATTGCATTGGTGGTTCAATAATAAAACAAAGATATATACTAGATTGACATTGTTAAGCAGTGTCTAAAACTACTACTCTTTGCATTCAATCATTCAAGGAATATACTCTAATATCTAACTTATAAATCCTTACCGCTTGCGTCCACTTAGGAAAACCCCATTGTGTAGACACAACAAGTCTATGTGTGAGAAGAACACCATTGATAATTTTTCTGTCGATTACATCCGCTCCGATAACTGACGGCACCATAGGATTTGGATATTTTCTCCATGCTGCCTGTGCTACTGTCTCCCATGGATGACTGCAAAAATATTTCCTTAAGTTATTAATCTTAAAAAATTATATTAGTACACAATTCTTAACAATTATTTTTATACAGACTAAATTATTTTCTTTCTACGATGACTTTCTTTCTAAAGATTAAGTTAAGTGAGGTTAGAGTTTAAATTGTGGTAGGTCAATTTTTAATGTATTATTACGTAATATTAATGTATTAATAATTATCTTTATTTCTTTTAAAGAAACAAAAACAATTTATATAACAAATTAAAGATTATATATTGATCTGAAGTATTTTAGAGGTTATCCCATTGTATACTATAATCAAGGCATTATCTCATGAATAAATATAACACAAACACATTGTTACAGCACATGGCAGTAATTTAAATAAAATGACTGAGTGAATTTTGAGATAAATAACATTTATATAAAATCAATGTAAAGCTTTTATTTTAACTCAAACACGTATGTACATCTTCCAAACGGTGGCTATTATTGGCCTTGTAAGCAATTATTAAAACAAAATTTAGCTTTCTACGACTTTCACGTGAACAGTTGTGTCAAGTAACAAAGAGATATGCTATGTATTCCTTTAGAAATGCACTGTGTACTCACTCGAAAGTGTGTTCTGATGTCCAGATTTTCATAGTGTTATGACTCCGATAAACAAAACTGCATGTAGGCCGGGCACTATAAATTTAAAGCGCGAAACGTGTGTGAATATCACAATTCTGAGTATTCGTGCGCCGAGCGCTTTGAGGATGTGATGTAAGTGAGGAAGAAGTTTAATTGTGTGACCACGACTATGCTGACGCTGACATTCCGTTTGCCCCTCGCTAGCCAAGAAGCGTCAGCTGTGTAGTCAACCAATGGCCGGCGATTTTACACATTTGACGTCACGCTAGGTCGATATCGATTGTAGTAATAGCGCGCCAACGTCAAATTCTGCCGCGCTGTGATAAACTCCACTTGAGCACACATAGGTAGCTAATATAAGTAACAATCGTGGCGGCAGCTGAAGATCTCGAACCGGAAGGAAAAAAGACCGATAAAATCCGAAACTTTCTTTTAATACATCAAAAACAACTCTGTTAAACAATGCTATTTGGGATCGTTTAAGTTAAAATGTAATGCCAAAATGTTTATTTTTTGGGAAAAAAGCCAAAACTTTTCTTGTTCACTCGAGATGAAATACAAAATACACAAGACAAACACTTGAATATTTGATATAAATGTTTTTCTTTATTTACAAACTTTGGTTTCCTTAAAAAAAATTGGTATACTGTAACTCTTCTGGTAAACAAGATTTATTACAACTTTCTTGATTCAGTAAATTTCTAGTATCTGCAAAAAAGTTTATAGAAAATTAATTAAAGTAAAAAGTAATCACTACTAATTACAGAGATAATAAAAACTCTTACCATTGCTGCTTTTGTGTTTTTCTTCTGCAGAGTTGCATTTCATGTGCAAAGGTATAGCAGGTTGAAGACCTTCATGTTCCAAAATAACTTTTTCCGCAGCTTTTAATGCGTTGTATATCAATCGAGACTTTGGCGCTTTTGCTAAATAGACTGTACATTGTCCCAACAGTACATCACACTCTGGCATACCAATCATTTGACATCCATACATTGTGTGAACAGCAATACCTATAGTTTTAGAATAATTTATATATAAAAAACAATAAAAAAAAATTAATATTTTTGAATTAATATTGTGTTCACCTAAGGCATCAGGATCTGCTAAACCAATATCTTCACTAGATATCCTAATTAGCCGTCTTGCAATATTTACTGGATCTTCTTTAACTGCCATAATTCTGGCCATCCAGTATAAAGAAGCATTTGATTTACCAGCTCTTATTGATTTATGAAGTGCAGAATACAAGTGATGAGTTTGATTGGTTTCTTTCTCAGAAAGTACATGTGCTTTTATTATATTGTCTTTAATGTCTTGTAGAGTTATTGTAACATCATTATTATACGATGCTTTTAGCCTCTCTGGTTTTCTTGCAAGCACTGCTAATTCTAGAGTATTTAAAGCTACACGTGCATCACCATCACATGCTTCTGCTAGCCACTGTATTGCTTTATTATCAATATAAAAGTCAAGGTTTGAAATAGAAGAAAGTTTAATCTGATGTGCATTTATATTTTGTGTGTCAAGTATGCTTCCCTTTATGCACTTTATTGCCTTATAAAGAATCTCTATTATATCGCATTCTCTTAATTTATGTAGCACAAACACACGACAGCGACTTAGCAAAGCTGGATTTAAACTATAAAATGGATTTTCAGTAGTAGATCCTATTAAGGTAAATGTCCCTGCTTCTATATGTGGTAAGAATATATCTTGTTGAAGCTTGTTGAAACAATGAATTTCATCCATAAAAACAATAGTTTTGCACCCAATTTTAGATTTATCTGTGGCTACAGTAACAGCATCTTTTACATTTTTTACACCAGAACTAGATGCAGATAAGTTTATAATATGTATGTTACTACCCATCATTTTCATACCTAAGTGTGCTATTATATTGGTTAAAGATGTCTAAAAATATATATACATATTTATCAGAAGAAAACAAAACATATAAAATAAAATTACAAAAAATGAAAAATAAAAACCAAACTTTACCTTTCCACACCCAGGTGGTCCCCAAAATATCATACTAGGAATCTCTCCCTTTTTCAATAAATAACTTAAAACAGTGTCCGGACCTATAACTTGTTTTTGCCCTACATAAGCTGCAATGTTCATTGGTTTCATTTTTTCAACAAGTGAAACACTTTCCTTATTTGTATCTGAGAATAGCATTTGTGAATGTCTCGTAAAATTATGTTCAGATACAAATATATCTTCCATATTGTTCGACATTTCATTTGTGTGCACTTTAAATTTCTTGGTCTGGTTATTCATTATCAAATCCTTTTCAAAAGGAAATAATCTCTTACTTTTTCCTTCCATCTGATTTTCTTCGGTTATATTATCGTTGATTTACGCATTATTTTTATTTACATAGGTAATTTATATAAATACATATTTACAAGTATCTTATATAGATATATATGTATATGTTATAAAAAATAAGATAAAACCACAAAGTGCCCTATAGAGTTTCTCAGGAAGACAGTCCCTTCTGATTAGACAAAGGAAACAAGTGTCGCCATTGACGTCACAAGTTTGCGACCAGAGAGAAGAATGAGAGCGGCCAGGCCCGTACAAAAACGAGTAATCGCTTTTCTGCCCTGTACACCAGCGCAATGTCCATGGTGATGCACACTAGCAACTACATAGCCATGTTCACGAACGACTTGTCGGTACATACGTTATGCACAAACGTGAAAATAATTCTATTCCGTGCTATGTAAAGTGGACATGGTTCTATTCCGTGTTATGTGCAAGTGCATCGGTATATAGACTTGTTTGTACATCAATATACCAAATGTCCAATATTCGCTCTTGGACGAGATGAAAGGCAAGAGAATCTTTTTGTATCCGGCACAAAATATCACTTTGCGGTAATAACAGAATACAAATATTCGAAAATTTTACTGCTCAAGTATTTCTATGTAAAATCAAGTATTAACATTGAGAATGGCATCGAATTAAGTATAGTAGCGGAAGCAGTTCTGGACAATTTGAGTCACGTAATGCTTTGCTGACGCAGCATGCTGCGTATATGAAAAGGTACCTTAACGTACCCACCGACAAATCGCTTGTGGAAATAACTATGTAGTTGTCAATGTTCATCACCTGTGGACATAACGCTGGCTTACAGAAGGAAAAACTTATTGTGTTTTATATGGCTTTGGCCGCTCTCAGTCTTTTCTCTGGCCAAAGCTTTGTCAAAAGTATACAGACACCCTGTATATATACATGAAAGAAAACGTCACGTAGCACCGGAAACAATCAGAGGATTCTAATTCGTGTAAACGCGAATTGTGGATGATACCTACACACGATAAGTGAAGCATTTTTTTTTATCGTATAATCAATAGTGTATCATTTTGCAGAGAGAGAAAAAGACAGGTATGATATATATTTAAGCAATATAGACATCGATATATGAGTGATAAAAATTGTCGCATGCGCGAAAAAAAATAATGGTGCAGCAATAGGAACGCGTGATTATAAAGTTTTTCAATTTGAAAAGTTTTGATTCTCAAGAGAGCAAAGAAAATTTCAAAATGTGTCCACGAAAGAAACGGTTTCTTCTTATCAGCTAGAATTATCAGTCACTTCATATCCTGTAGATATTCGCTCATGTTATATCGCATTTCCAGAAAAATGTGCTAGGTTATGTTTACGTGTTTATGTAAAGGTTAGAAGAAATAGTTATGTTAGCCACAAGAGATGTAATTTTAATCTGATCACAATTACTAGTTTTGTGTAACGATACAAAAATAAAATCAAATTATGGGTTGAGTCGTTTAGAATAATTGATATATATGTATATATGAATATAATTTATATAGGTATATGTGTGAAGTAACAATCTAAACTAAAATAATATAAATTTTTAAGTACTGTAACTTATATAATTTATATTACAGTATAAATATATAGTTTATCAAGATGAATGGGATTATTCCTGAAATGGAACAAATCATTAGTCAGCTGGAAAGGGGTACTGTAGTGACCAAATTTTTTTGTAGAAAAAGACCAGAAAAGAAAACTCTTATGATAAGAAGAGAAACTAGACAAATAGTTTGGTCACGAAGTGCAACATTTAGACCTTTTGATGGGTCTGGTAAGATTTTACATTTATATCTATAAATCTTGTTGAACTAGTTGTTGAATTTAGCTACTTGATAGTTTGATAGTACGTATATTGTAATCTCTTGTGTATATAGTTATATGGATATGTCTTTACAGCAAAAATGAACAAAATATTAACTGAAGGTTTAGAACAGTAAGGTGAAGGGAAGGTTCTTATGCTTATTATATGTAGGTGAGTTTTTAATAATAATTAAGTTTATGTCATTAATGGATTGTATCCAATAATGTCTTTTTACTTTTTAAATGTTCTTTTATTTCTTTTCAAAATATTATAATTTATTATAATCAATACTTTATATAGCAATAATTTGAACATAATTGTCTTAAGTATTTCTATATTATTGTTTAATTTTCTATAACCATTAAGTATATTATGTATACAATGAGATCCTTCCCTTCAATTTTATATAAATGTATATATATAGACATATACTTTTTTTTCTAATGTTTGATCTTGAAATATGTGTACTTTGTGGTATATCTTATATATAATTTTAGATATTCTATTTACTTACAGTGGAAATTAGAGAAGTTAAAGAACTTAGGATAGGAAAACAATCGAAAGACTTTGAAAAATGGCCTGAAGATGCTAAAAGAATTGAAAATTTAAGATGTTTTGTTGTGTATTATGGATCGGAATTTAGACTGAAATCTCTTTCCATATCTGGTAAATATATCTGATAAATAGCCTATTACTATCATGACAAATTAGTGAGTTAAAGATACAACTATTATTTATTCTGTGTGATATATTGAGAAATGAGTACTTCCTTCTGTTCACTAGCTCTTAGTGAGAAAGAATGTGAGTTATGGGTTAAAGGATTACGTCACTTAGTACAAGATACTATAAATGCACCATATCCATTACAAGTTGAAAGATGGCTCAGAAAAGAGTTCTATGCAATGGAAAATTCTCGTGAAACGTTAGTACACTAATGTTTAGTTTTATTATATATTTTATTATATATGCGCCATATTTAATTAATAAATAATTAATAGGGTTACACTAAAGGATGTAAAAGCATTTTTGCCTAGAGTTAATTGTAAAATTGCCACAAATAGACTCAGGGAATTGTTTCAAGAAGTAGATACAAGAAATCGAAATGAGCTCGGTTTTGATGATTTTGTTATCTTGTATCATAAGTTAATGTTTGATCAAAATGTAAGTTTACATTTATATTATTTTTTTTACAAATATATTATCACTATTAGTATTTATTTGTGTTTATATTATATAAATATGTTGTGTTGACAGAATCTTGCAGATTGGCATAAACTATTAAATTATTCCAAAACTGGAGAAACAGTCACGCTTCAGGAGTTTCAGAACTTTCTAATAACCGAACAACAAGACAGCTTAGGGAAAAATGACTTAGAAGTATCACGTTTCATTAGAGAATATTTGCAAGATCCTCAAAGAGATATACAAGAACCATATTTTACTTTCTCGGAATTTATAGATTTTTTATTTTCCAAACAAAATGATATTTGGAATCAAAAATTTAATCAAGTTACTCAAGACATGACTCGCCCTCTTGCACATTATTGGATAGCATCATCGCATAATACGTATGTACTTCTTAAAAATATAAGAAAATTTCAACGTATGCGTGTGTGCGCGCGCGTGCGTGTGCATATATGTATGTAACACATTCTATTTATAAATTTTTAGATACTTAATGGGAGATCAGATTAGTAGCGAAAGCAGTTGTCAGGCCTATGTACGCGCACTGAGAGCAGGGTGTAGATGTATAGAGCTTGATTGTTGGGATGGTCCGGATGGAATGCCATTTATATTTCACGGACACACTCTCACTACTAAAATAAAATTTTTAGATGTTATTAAAACTATTAAGGAACATGCTTTTAGTACATCTGAGTAAGATTAAGGATAAAAAATAGTTATATATATATAACTAACCATACTTTTATTATTTTTTATCAATATGCATTGTTTATTTAGGTATCCTGTTATTTTGTCTATTGAGGATAATTGTACTTTACCGCAACAACGTAAAATGGCAACAACTATGCAAGAAGTGTTTGGTGACATGCTGTTAGTGCAGCCTGTTGACAAAAACGAAACCTGTTTACCTTCTCCTTATGTATTACGTAGAAAAATTTTGCTAAAACACAAGAAGCTTCCTGATGGTGTCGATGAATCTTCGTTTCTTGTTCGAAATGACGAAAGCAGACAAGAGATGGATCTTAGAAATACCGTGAAAAATGGGATTCTTTACTTAGAAGATCCTGTCGATAGAGAGTGGAATCCTCATTTCTTTGTACTGACACAACAGAAGTTATTTTATACAGATACGTTTTCAAGATCACAAGAAACGGAACATGACGACGACGAAGAAAGCAGTGTTCGAAGAACGTCGGATGTGCGTATAATTAGAAAATTCGCATATATTTGATATAGTAGAAACTAATTTTATTGTTAATTTTAAAGGGTGCGCCAAATGATGAGCTACATTTTGGGGAAAAATGGTTTCATGGAAAATTAGCAAGAGGAAGAGAGGAAGCCGAAGAATTATTACGACGTTATTCGTATCTCGGAGACGGTACTTTTCTAGTGCGACAGTGTGTCACATTCGTAGGTGATTATTGTTTATCATTTTGGCGCAAAGGGAAAGTGAATCATTGTCGTATTAAACTGAAACAAGAAATGGGCCAGACGCAATATTATCTTATCGATACTAATTGTTTTGACAGTCTGTATAGTTTAATTACTCATTACCGTAATCATCCACTTAGGAGCCAAGTAAGTGAAAAACAAATATAAAGTGAAAATTTGAGAATCTTTAAATTGAAATTATAATATTTATTTTGAAATAAAAAAGAAGTTATATAAAATAATAAATCTCTCTCTCTGATGTACAGGAATTTTTAATTACTTTACAAGAGCCAGTGCCTCAACCGAACAAACACGAGGAAAAAGAATGGTGGCATCCCGACTGTACTCGTATTGCGGCAGAAGAGATGCTGAAACGTATACCTACAGACGGTGCATTCCTAGTGAGACCTAGCGAAAGAGAAAGTAATTGTTACGCAATTTCATTTAGGTATGTTAAAAACCCATGTAATAAATAACGACTGTATAGTCTGCGCATTGAAATAATTATTAAATTATTGTTTATATAGAGCAGAAAAACAGATAAAACATTGCAAAATAAAACTTGAAGGAAGGCTTTTTACCATGGGAACTGTACAGTTCGAGAGTTTAGTTGAATTAGTAAATTATTACGAACGGCATCCATTGTACAAAAAAATTAAATTAAGCCATCCTGTTAATCAAGATGTTATTAGAAGAATAGGACTGGTATGCATACTCAATGTATTGTACTTTTTTTTCTGCTTTCTTGTAACATAAATATATGTCTAACAGAAATAATGTAAAAAAAATATCGTATATATCTTTTTGCTTTTCTCTCTATTTAGGATAACGATGATGGATCTGTTTATGCTATGCCGGGTTATATGGATCCTACAAGTTTCACATCAAAAGTAAGTACTACAAAAATGCATCAATATTTAGTTTTTGTACTAATTTTTTCTACTTGTATTTTAATTTTTGTAATATATATAATCAAAAATATAAAAATTTTCTTTCGAACATGTATATGTTTACTTTTTAAAGTACATCTGTTTTGTTTATTAAAGGTATGTCTTTTGTTTTCTTTTTTTAAAATTATTAAAACTGTTAATTTTAAAGGTTACGGTTAAGGCTATTTATGATTATAAAGCTAGAAGAGACGACGAATTAACATTAGTAAAACATGCTATAATTACTAATGTTAATCAACAAAGTGGAGGATGGTGGAGAGGTGATTATGGTGGTAAAAAACAACATTGGTTTCCTGCCAATTATGTAGAACAAATTAATCAACAAGAAAATCAAGGAGATGTAAGTTACATATATATACATATGTAATATATGTGTCATTAATCTGAAATTGATTGATAAAAATAGTTTATGTATTTTTTTTTAGTCAACAGATTCTATGATGCTCGGCAGTCTGCAGAAAGGTTCATTGGATATCATGGGTGCTGTGGTAGAATTAACGGTTGGAGAAAGGGCGGGTTTAGAATGGATTTTAAGAATACAAAATCCTAGTATGTGTTCAGTATTTGAAGTTGCGACGCCATCAAAAGATACTGCGTTAGAATGGATGTCAAGTATCAAAGAGACCGCACAAAATGCAAGCGTTAGGGTAAATGCATAGTCTGTTTTATACAAAAAAATCTTAAATACTGTCTCAAACGCTATATTGCATATTCATTTGAAATACATATTGACATTACGAATATTGTTTTTTGTTTAGGAAAGTCAACATAAAGAAATGGAAAGAGCATGGAGAATAGCTAAGGAAATGTCCAATCTTATAGTATACTGTAGATCAGTCGCATTTAACATAGAACGAATAAGAGCTAAGGGATTTACGTTCAACGAAATGAGCAGTTTTCCTGAAACAAAGGCTGAAAAGTTGATGTGTCAACAAGAGACTAAGTTTTTTCTAAAATATCATCAGGTATATACGGATGAATTTAAATATTAACATACAAATCAGACTAGAATGTTAAAAAACAAATTATTTCTTTTTTGTAGATTCAATTTAGTAGAGTTTATCCAAAAGGACAGCGCTTTGATTCATCCAATTATAGTCCTATACCAATGTGGAATTCCGGTTGTCAGATGGTGGCTTTAAATTATCAAACTGGAGATAAATCGATGCAATTAAATCAAGCTAAATTTAAAGAAAATGGCAACTGTGGTTATCTCTTGAAACCAGATATTATGTTCAGACACAACTTTAATCCGTATGATAAAAGTACATTGTATGGTGTTGAATCGCTTAAAATTAATTTAAAAATTATCGGAGCAAGACATTTAATGAGATCGGGAAGGGGTATGGCCAGTCCGTCTGTCGAAGTTGAGATCGTAGGTGCAGACTACGATTCTGGAACAAAATTAACAACAAGAACAATATGTTAGCATTACTCTATTTAAATTACAAGTTCACATACAGCACTTTAATCGTTAACAATTACGTTTATGATTCTAAAATTTTTAGCTGACAATGGGTTTAATCCTATGTGGAATGAAACATGTGAATTTGAGATATTCAATCCATATTTTGCTCTTATACGATTTTTAGTGCAAGATGAAGACATGTTTGGCGATACTAATTTTATAGGACAAGCTACTTACCCGGTGAGTACTTCATTAATTGTATCAAAGATACATCTTGAATTAAGTTCGTATTTGTGCACATTCTCATTCTAAATAAACACTTATTTTAGGTGCGTTGTTTGAGATCGGGATATAGAAGTGTTCCATTAAAAAACATATATAGTGAAGATCTTGAGCTTGCCTCTTTATTAGTACATATAACTTTATCGGTAATAAAAAATTGCACTTGTTGCACTGATATGTAAAACTTAACATCTATATATAATTTCATCTTATGTATAAAAAGTAAGAAGTTTTCAATAGGTATAAAATAAATCAACATGAGAATTTTGCGTTATATTGGATATATTGGCCAATTATAATTCAGATTCAAAAGGGTAAGTTATGTGTGTGTAAATAAAATAGGATTTATATGTGCAAGAATTTACTGATAATTTTTACTTTCACGTTCATTACAGATAACACAAACTATCTTGATTGATATACACATATCGCAATGTAGTTTATGATAATATGTATACGTATGTTTAAAATTAACAGACCGTAGAAGACTGTACATATTCATATTGAAATTTATATACATACGCGAATTACTAGATCGATCTATTCTTCATCTTGTTTTACATATGAGAGACACGAATTTTAATAATTTATATATTTCGTAACATGCGTTGTTAAGTATCCGAGACATATTGCATATCATAACGACTGAAATAATATTTTATCTTCCCTTTAATAATTAGTTCATCAAATTATTGTTTTATACTTGTTACTATTTGTTTAACTATCTAGAAAAAAAGAGTAACTCTTTCTGTGTGTCGAAAAAAATGTTCAATATAATTTAGAAGAAAAGTCTATAATAATGTGTGGCGCAAAGACGTTACAACTAGCGTAATAAATTGTACGCATAATAAACAAGTGATACATTTAATAGAAAATGCAGAATGTGGTGCCCGTATATAAATAGTAGTGTGCAATAATAGCAAATGGTTCATCGTAATGCTTGCGTATAATCTGTGGTTGTTAATAATATACTACAATATAGTAACAGATTTATGCAAAACAATTGAAAAACTAGTGGTTAACAAACAAAAATGAACATATTCCAAAACTTTAAAAATCTCTAAAATTAAAATATACGAAATATCTATTTTTTCTAGTCCAAAGTAGATGTACGTATGTATCAATATGTATGTCAATATATTTCTTAATTACGTGATAAGCAAATATTTAATTTTACTATTATTATTATTCTATTGTGGAACTTTTTGGCAGAGAAATATCTGAATAATTATGCGTACATACGTATGTGTATTCTATTTTGTTATAAATTTACAATATTTACCGGTATACATCTTTTATTATCCAATTGTACTATATATGTTTTACTATCTTTTAATATCCAATTGTACTGTACATGTTGTACTATCTGATTTTCTTGAGTGTACACACAATATATTTTTATCTTTGTATACACAAAAGGTATTTTGAATAGACTTGAAAAATATATCGTGCCTATACGTATATCACATATGTGCCGTGAACAAATGCAATTAGATTTCTTTATTAAGAAGAAATGTAAATTATACGTAGTAAATTCTTGTTGCAAACACTGCTAAATATATATAACAATTTCATTAAAAAACATTCTGCATACATATAAAATCGGTAGTAAACGATTAATAAAAACAAGAAGAACATGTATGTAGATATTAATATTTCATTTATTGCAGGATACACATGTGTTATACTACTGAACATAAAAAATAAATTTTCTCTAAGAGTTTTATTGTTTATATTTTACATGAAAGATCTTCGATATTGAAGATAGAAGAAAATAATAAATGTAATTTTTAAATATATAACATATAAATTCGAGGTTTTTTACAAAGACTTAGAAAGATATTCATCAAACAAGAATACAGCAACGCCTCTTGCATCGTTATGTTCATGTACTGTAAGCATATTCTTCAAGTCATTTGAGTAGCCTGCTAACTGTCTCACGCTTTCGGACAATGGTTCTATGAGATGCTCTTCGATATAATGAGCGACACCTGCATCCATTTTGTTTACTTGATGCTGAGCTTCTTTATGGATATACAATGCTTTATTGACAAGTTGCTTCTCACTATCAAGTGCTTTGGCCAAACTATCCAGTTCAATCAGTTCAAATACTTTGCCATTTGAGCTGTTGTCATTCAAGTCGTCCTGTGAACAGTAAGCGGTGATATCTCAATATCTTTTTCTTGTAAACACGATCTTGTATAAGCTTAAACTGAATGCTACATCAACACTTACGGGATTGCTTAGTCTCGGTGGTTCCATGAAATTCATTGTGCCACCACGCTGCGCAATATATTTGATCATATTTATCGCATGTTCCCATGTTTTGTCTGACAATTTTCGGTACAATTTCTTAAATCCTTCTCGATTAGTTTCATAGCTACCGAAATGAGAGGACATCAATAAGAATTCGTAACTTTTGTCGATACTACTCATTGCATATGATTGTAGATCAGGTAAAAGATCATTAATCTTTCCGAACTTGGCAGTACACTCAACAGGATCTAAAATTGTAAACGTGTTTTTCTGTCACAATCTTTTTGCAAATTGTTATTTATTTATGTAAAATTAAACTTAGATAATTTAGATTTTCTTTATAAAAGATTAAAAAACTAAAGATGACCAACAAATTAAATTCCATTTTTATTATAAAATAATTTTTCGAGATAAGCATTCTTTTAAATTTTCATTGCAAAAAACATGTAAAACTAGTATAGCACAGAAAGAAAGAGAAGCAACAAAAATATATATGACTTGATAAAAATTAATAATTTACATACTTTTTACGGGATTGGAGGAGCAAGCATCTGAAGTAGATTGATAACAATATTGTGCAGAGGCAGTTACCAAGAGACCAATTAATACTCCGTAGAACAACATCTTTGCTGTAAAATTTAATGCATTATAGAACAAATATAAATTTATGTATATACAATTAATCTATAAAAAACTAGTTTTCTTATTATGTGTGTGCGCATTGAAAATTGTTGCGTGTTTTATAATATCTATATATATTACTAAATATACTATAACAAATACAACGTATAAGATGTTGTCATCCGCGATATTGTTTTGAAGCAAAAAAAAGATGAGCAACAAGCTCTTGATCTACAATGACGATACGTAATGTCTTTGTGGAACTGATATACACTAAATAGATACCGCGATCGAAATCAGTCGCTCGTAAATTGATTTCAAATCGAAAAATAACCGTGAACGATTTTTGCGTTTTGAAACGAATGCTTATATATCCCGTGGTACACGTACATATATATCGCATATATCAGTGACGAAAGTGCGCAATACGCCCCGCACGTCGCCTGCGGAGCATTGTGCGCGCGATATACATGTGACATGCCGAAATTTTCGGATTATTATCTTATCTTACGTACGTGCGGAAGGATATTATCGACGTAAACCTGAATGACCTCCTGAGTACCTTTCTATCCGTGAAACGGTGCGCGAATTCGACGATAGGAAGGAAGCAACGTGAATACTCTCGCTTCGACGTTCTTCCAACAATGAACGTTGCCCCGATGAGATATGACTTTTCACCGTCTTAGGCACGTCATCGTCAGCTGACAAAGGGGTGGTGCGACGCGTGCGCAGACGCTTCGCGCGCATCACATCATGATGACGCGGAGTGTGGTGCGGTAAGACGGCAAGAGGGTCGATTCTAGCGCCCTCTTTGCTCCGCCTGCGGTTAAAGTGCGAATGTATATCGCGTGTTCACGAGACGAATTGTTGTTAGGTGATCGATGACCAGAAAACGCGTTTAACAGTCTTCGTACTCTCTTATCTCCGATGAAAGCAGCCTTCTATACCAGTGCGTATAAAGGTTGCTTCTGAACGGAAGGAACGATTCGCTGTGCTTCCATCCGCAAGACATTTTTTACTTTCTGTTTTCCTTGAGAGAAGTAATTCTATAACCTGTCATCGCTCGATCTACAAAAATGAAGCTGATTTATGCTATTCTCATCGCTCTGGTCTGTATCGGCGGCACTTTTGGAATGGAGAAAAAGCAAGAATCTAGGCTCAAATGTAAGTATATAAAAAAACAATTATAATTGTGTACGTCAAGTTCGTCTATTTGCCTCTTTCTCTCTCCCTCTCTTTTTCTCTCTTTCTCTCTCTCGCCGCTGTCGTACTGCGTAATTTGTAACATGCGTATCACGCCATGCTACTGTGTGAATACGTCATATCTGAAAACGTTGACTTTCGATGTTAACTTTCCACAAAATAAAAGAGATATAATTTTATATTTTTTCTGTATTTCAATATAAAACATTTTGTTTGAAAAAACTGTCATATATAATTCTACTATACAGTATACGTTTTGATACGATAAGAATAAATACGTCTCGAAGCTCTCTTTATACACACATATTTTGCAAGAGATAGATGATTCGACAAAGTTGTGTGAATAATCACTTGTTATGATTAAGCAAACGAGACTTAGATTATTTTTTCAATTGACTTTCTACTCTGTTAACTCTGTGTGATTGAAATTACAACAAATTATTACAAATTGTTATTTTTCTATGTTATAAGAAAACGTAGTAAATATGTATCTTATATAAAAATTGAGAAAATATTGACCATTTATCGTTAAAAATATTTCACTAATATATTATACAAGATAACATTTTGGTTTTTTGAACAATAAAATTACAATATAAAAAAAACTTTGCTTTACACATATTACTATTATAAATATATTCCTTTGTTCTGTGAGATAATGTCAATCATATATTAATGAATCATATATTTAGAGGATGATATATAAAACATGACTGTTTTATAGATAGCCTTTATCCATTTGAGTCATGCTTATCAAATGTTTTTTATTTTGAAGCAAGTTTGTGCAATTGACAAAGAATATGTTGAAACATCTTTCATATATGATATACATATCTGAGTTAACTGTATATTAGATGCTGCAATGCCAATGATATATTTTGAGTAACTAACTATGAAAATAGTACGTGCATTGGTATATGCATTGTAACATAGCCCTCCATGAAATGACTTTCAAAACAGCTTACTAGTCGAACTGACTGGGTCTGAGAAATCCATGTCAGTTCACAAAGGAATAGTTTTTAGATCTTTTCATAAAAATGTTATAATATACTAGAAAAATATTTCAAATGCAAGTTTAATAATATTAATATGATGTTTGCTATCACACAATTATGTCTAGTGTTTAAAGTTGACAAGCAAATATATTTGATCTTTCTGACGCACATGCAATAATCAAAATAATTTCAAGCATTTTTCCATTACTATCTACAGTATTTTTCTATACAAATGTCATGATTTTATCAAATTATTTTTACGACCCCATTTCGTTATCATTTCACAGAGTGTAAACGAAAAACACTAGGAACTAAACGCAGAAAATATGATTAGCTACAGGAAAGTCACTATCAATTACATGATAACGATAACAAAAATCTATATACGTAGTCAAATACGCAGTCGTGTCTAAAGTATGCTATTACAGAATCCATACTGTGAAATGAAATATGTAAGAAAGAACAAAGAATCTAAAGTTCAAAAATAATCCAAGTATTAATAAATAAGTCATTGCAAGTCGGTGTAACGTAATATGTTTCTGTACAATTTAATTCTACACAAAACTCAACTTATATGAATACACAATTATGAATAATAGAACATATACGAATATTACAATCATAAACATCAATACAGTAACGGAATTCACAAATCTTTATATACATAACATACGTGTTATTCTTCTACCAAAGAATATTCGAAGAAAACTTGAAATGTATTCCCCTAGTATGTGATATAAAATTACGTTACATTTCAATAAAATTAAACTATACATATTCAATGTTATATTGATTCTTACATTAATCTATTTATCGATATTTTAAATACACAAATATTTAAAAATATCATGAAAGTCAATAAATGCGCATAAATATTTATGTAATCGAAATTTTGGTATGTTTCGTGCACTTTGTATGAACAAAGTTTTTTTTCTTATAACTGTTATCATAAGAGTATCAAATTAAACATAATTAAACATGTATTAAACAAATATGATATTGCAAACAATAAGTTAATATGATTCAATCAATAATAAATTGAGTCTTGTGGAGAGATAAAAAGAATAACATGGCAAACATTAATAAATCCATTAAAAATGCATAATAAAATATTTTTCAATAGTCTTTCTGTGCGCATATGCTCGCTGCGATGGCCGAAAACTCTCGATCTATCGAGTATATCTTGCCTTAAAGAAGGGAGAGGATAAACGATTATTCCGCCTAGATCTTTCTAGACATTTCTGTCAATAACATAAAATTTCTTTTTATCAACTACACTTGAAATGTTTTATCCGCAATTTGTGCAAAAGTCTTCCTTTTCCAATTAATCGTTATCACAAGATTACCAAATAATTAACACTTATCAAACACGTATATTTATTTTTACAGTAAATTAATTGCTATATATCTATAATAAATTAATTTTATCATTTTGACTATCTTGTTTTTTTGAAAGATAATTTTGAAAAAAATGTGTCAGTGATATTGACTGCATGATATTAACTATGTTCCAAAAGTCTTCTTCTCTATACATATATGATTCATTATAAAGATATAAAATAAGTGTAATTCAAATTATAAATTTATTTTACATGATACAAGGAAAAACGATTTTAACATATGTATGTATTATGTATATATGTATATATTATACTTTATATATGTGTAAACTTCTAATTAAACTATAGTATATATACTATATATATATACTATATATATATATATATATAATGTCATAAAAGTATAAAATTGTTATATAATAGAGTTTTATTGCTTTTTTAATGAAAAAACGCTTATTCCTCATCTTACTTTTATCTTCAAGAGATGCTATCGACAATGCGACTGATCAGTCACGAACTGATAAAATATATATTTTCCGATAACATGTTGATAAAATAAACCCTTGTTCTCTTTTTATATCTATTAAAGATGAACTATATTAAACAATTCTTTCTTATACAATTATAGAAATTTATTATGCGATTTATAGAAAGTTATTTTAAACTTTTATGATTCTTATGTTATATAGATATAACAATTAATTTTACTTTATTTTCTGTTTTAGGCTCACTTCGAAGTTCTAATGTTACAAATTCATGGATAGACATAGTTACTCCATGTGTAAAATCATTGAAGAAACAAGTCAGTGTAGAATTTAATGCTTCCATGGAGTATCTTTCAATGGTACACAAACTATTTGCTCTGCTTCCGTACTTATAGTTTGACATAACTGCTATAATTACATTAAACACAAGCAAATAATAAACGATTTCTGTTTATTTATTGTTTTATTTCAGGCTGCTCACTTTGCACGTGACACTGTCAATCGTCCAGGTTTCAGCAAATTCTTTTTTGATAGCGCAAGCGAAGAAAGAGAACATGGAATAAAAATAATTGAATATTTGCTCATGCGTGGGCAACTTACCAATGACGTTAGCAAACTTATTACGTTTCCAATAGTGAGTACTCTCTTAGAAAAATTGTGTGTGTACGGATATCTTACAAAAAAATATCGAACAAAAATGATAAAAAAAATCTTAAATATAAATAGTTATGTTATTTAATCTTACAGATAACCAACAACACAGAACTAAATGGAAAGAAAGCTCTCACCGAGGCTTTAAAACTAGAGGCTAAAGTTACACGCAGCATTCGTGACATAATCAAGACTTGTGAAAATGAGCCTTCTTTCAACGACTACCATGTGAGCGTCGTTTGTAAATAAGAATTAATTTTATATAAACGATCGTTGATTTTTACTTCAACGCAATGTTTTTTTTTTGGCAGTTGGTTGACTACCTCATTACCGATTTCTTGGATGAACAATATAAAGCGCAACGTGATCTCGCTGGCAAAATCTCAGTATTGAGTAAACTGATGCAAACGCACGGAGCCTTGGGAGAATTCTTATTTGATAAGAAATTGTTGAATGGTGAAGTCTAAGCGTTTCGATAGTTCAGAGTTCTTTCCTACAAATATATGTGTTTATAAAAAATATAATGGCCATATTTAGAATACAATATATGTGTTAATTAAAATTGGTGTATATTTGTTTTTCTTTTACGAAGTATAATAACTGTTTTTGCTTCAAGGTTATTTCTAAATATGGCCTATAATATGTATAGAAATAAAAAAAAGATGCAATATTTGTTAATCTGTAATAAACATATTACCCTTTATAAATAAATTTAAAAAAAATTAATAAACGAGCATTATTTTAAGATGCTGCGTTAATTTGGCGTAATTCTTCGATTTGATTAGAATTAAAATCTTGGTTCAGTCTTGCCAATTCTGGTTAATTAACCAGCTGATTATTTTACTAAAATTGACCATTCACGTTAGTTGTTTAGCAGAATTGACAAGTCACGTTACTACTTAAAATGCGTTTGTCTTGGACGCGCTTTAAGCGTCAGTTTATCTTTGTTCTACATTTCAAGAGCAAATTTAAAAACGGACTGTAAGTTAAATTAATCAGTTGGTAAGAGCGGTTAAATTTCATATATGGTTCTATTCGACCCAACTAGAGGTATCTAGTATCGCATTCAATATGGCGGCGCCCAATACAACGCAATAACGCTGATAACGCGTTTGAAATCGAACGCATCCGGTGTGCATTACTGCAATAAACTGCGGAATTTCAATACGCGAAATCTGTGATATTATTTATCAACATGTCTGCTACGGCTATGCATAAATTTATAACTTTTGTAGGATTTATGTCTATATTACACGCAGCTTATTCCGCAGCACAACGTAAGTATCTGCTTCAGTTTGTTTATTCGATCTTTTCTCGTGCTTTCTAGGTTAGGCAAATGTCAATATTGTTTTCTTGCAATTAGAAGTATATAACATATTTTTATATTACTTTTATTTATAATTTTTATTTGTAAATATGTCACTAAATGCACATTTAAACGTGTATAATTTACATTACTATACGTGTACTATACTATATTGGTGAAACATACACTAGATATAGACCTAGTTTACACTGCACATCTTTTTGGTATCTGAATCAAATAAAATTTGTTTTTCTACGTATAATTCTGGTATTTACACCATTATAAACGTGTTTGATACGCATATTTTTAAGCCATTTTGATACGATGAAGAAGACGTATCATACTAGCTTAAACGGCATTATTGAGATTAAGCCCATTTAGTACAAATATAGTACTTGATACGCGTATTAAGCGATCGGTAACTGGGTCATAAGCACATTTTTTCACATATCGCGATAAAAGCAAAGTAAATTCAAGTCTATAAAGTTAGATTGTTTACTTATACATTTAAAAAATTAAATTTAGAGTAAACGCATTAAAAAGTTTTATTTTAAACTTACAGATCGTTCCTACTTGCGGATTACTGAACAGGAATTTACTACTTTGCCAATTGATGTGAGTTAATATCACTACTGCTAGTTTATACAGAATTGAGCAATATATTGTACTAAAATGTGTATTCATACTTTTATAAATTAAAAACTATGATATATATTTTATATTTTTTCATGGTACTCTGTTTGTTTAGATCTTAATCCAAGGTATAGTCAGTTTATTTATTGTCATGTACGGAGTTATGTACATTGCCGGTGATTTCAAAGAAATTCGAGCAGTTGTCGATTTGGAAAATAAATCTTGGGAAACATTGAGGAATCTGCCATCATTTCAAGTATTTAATCATCGTGGAAGAGTTCTTTCACCACTGCATATTCGAGATGAAACGATTTCTCAAACTGATCATCATCATCATTAGTTATATATAAAATAAATGCAAACATTTGTTGATTATTATGTAACATCTGTAGCTTAGTAAAATTTTTTACACATCATGTAAAATATCGCATATTTAAAAGAATTTAATATATAAAAATTTAGCATCATTATTAATCACAATACAGCTTGAATATTTGTATAGATATGAGATTTAATTAATCATGTACTATACTAAACCAACATTGATACCAGAAATTGTGATCTTCTGTAATCACATAACTTAAATTGTGAACTTTACACGAGGAACAAGTTTTGTATACATGTTTCACATAATTTTGAAATACGAATATGTAAAAAGTCTTACAGGTTTAGAATGTTTCTCATTTGTCTATATGTCGTCTTAAATGTGTACTTCATTTATTTTATAAGAAAAATTAATAAGATACAATAAAAGCGTGCACAATGGGGTACAATGACATCACTTTTTCTGCTTTTTCTTTTCCGCCTCTGCTTCTTTTTCCTTTTCGATTTCTGTTACATATTCACCTATAGTGTTTGTATCTAACATCTGCGTCAAAAAAAGATTACATGTTCTAATTTATAAAGTTTCACTAATATTATAAAGTAAAAATTGATTTTTTTTTATTCAAATATCGAACAATTTGCTAAAAATACCTGCAACGGTTGTCCGCGTCGCATTACAGCTATTTCCAAATTTTTTTGTCCAGATTGTACTACCTCAAGCAGCGCTCTAATCGCTAATTTTATACAACCTTTTTCTGTAGATACTTCTTCAGGAGTGTAAAACTTTTCCAAGAATTCATGAACAGTCTTAGCATTGCGACCTGTTGCATTTGCCTTTAAAGAGAGCCATTTATAAAGACAATTATTAAGTATGTACATCAAACTTTCATTGAGTAAATATGTAGGAAGAATCTTATTAATATACCTTCCATTCGTAATATATGCCGGATGGCTCTGTTTGATATAAATGCGCTGTACCGTCGTAATCAAATCCAGCTAAAAGACAAGATATTCCAAAAGGTCTACGACCATTACTCTGTGTATATTTTTGCTTTAAACCTACAAAAAAACGTAAAAATGATAACATTGTTTCTGGTAAAATTCTTGTCTCTTATAGATGTATACACTTATAAATATTGGTTACACACACCTGCAATATATCTTGTGATATATTCCAAGGTAACAGGATCTTCTACTGTCAACTTGTGGCTCTGACATTCAACTTGAGCTCGATTGATTAATACTCTTGCATCCGCAGTTAAACCTGTTAAAAAGAATAGATAACTATCTTTTGTCATAACAGAACAATTAACTAATATTTACTTTTATATCACTATTATATGCAATACCTGCAAAGGCCATAATTACATGATCATCCAACAGACATATTTTGCGTACAGTACGTTCTTCTTGCAGTTTGGCTACAGATTTTTTTTCTACTCCTAGAACTACTACCCCAGCTCCACGCACACCAACCTGTTCAATTAACATATAAAAGTATATATTATATTGACAAAATTCAGCTGTATTTAACCTATGCTAGAAAATTCGCAAGTCATACATATGTAAGATGATACAAAACTGACATAAATAAAAATAAAATTTAAATGCTAACAGAATGCCCAAATAACAAAAATAGAAAACATACAGGTGTATAATATTTAAGTTATTTTTGTGTGACACACAGAAAGAAGGTTATGTTAAGGTGCTCAGAGAGATCGTACCGCTGTCGATCCCTTTTTAACTGCTTCTTGAGCGTATTCCACTTGGAGCAAATGTCCGTCCGGCGAAAATACCGTAATTGCTCTGTCATATCTCGCCGACATTATTCCAACTGTCAAAAATATTCACTGTGTTTTGCAGAAACCTCAAAATGACTTTACCCTTTTTAATAGTATATGGTATACAGTCAGCAAATTGTTGCAAATTGCAAGTATAGATGGTATATCGCCATATTGCGATACTAGCACCTTCACTCGGATGATAAATAGAACTATACTAGGTTTAAAGAGAGAAGAGAATCTTATCGTGTAGAGGAAGAAAATCGGGCAAAGTGAGGATAACGTTGCGCGCAGGATTGGCGGAATACTTGCTGGCAGCCAATGGCTGTAGAGTTTGAGGCTTTTTAGTAAAAAGCTTTATGCGCAAGCCGATTCTCTTTTTTCATTGAACTTAGTGTATGCTAAATGCTCATTGGTCCAAATAGTCTTATGTTAGGTTAGATTATGCAGCTATGCGATTTAAGATTGATTAGAAAGCCTCTCAGAAAGAGAGTCGCAACTCGTGACTTTTAAAGATCATAAAAAAACACTAAACATAAGCAACCAATCACAGGATAGCAGTCTCTCGATTAATAAGCTATATTCAAAAAAATGCTAGCATGTAATTGGTTGATTTGTTTACTGCTTATATGTCTTATTGCTCTAAGATTTTTTACGTGCCATAGCGACCAAAGCAAACATCCAAGAGTATGACGCGGGAACGAATTAAATCATGTAACTTTTTCCTCCCAAATGCACGACATTGTATATGAAAGAAATGAGTGCCATTTATTTACCTTGAGCCACGTTTTCTTTCAAAAACAGATTTTCTCAAATGCTCGCAACAATCGACAAATTCCAAGCAATATATCGAACACAAATTGACGACAGATTGATAACAAAAACGATCAGATATGTCAAACTCATAATGCACATCACAGTGATCTTTTGAAGAATTGCGAGATCTCGAAATTTGCCGCTAATTTTAATTTGCTAATTTATCGATGATAATAATATATCATCAAATCTGTTACCGAAACATGAGACTAATTATTTTATTATCTTATATTATATTGTCTTTAGACATCTTTAAGATGTCTTGGCTTTTCTGTACTGTTTAAGTAAGATATCATATGTAAAATAAAAGTTTTTTAATTCTGGCCAAGGTGTTTTTTTACAATAGATTTTTTAATTTCCATGGAAAAACAAATGGAGTATTTTATCTACATGTGATCTAGAAACCAAGCATCTAAGATAACTTTTTGAATTGAAATTCAGTTGAAATTACATGAATAATTATATGTTTAAATAAATAAAATATATATTTTACAGTAATAACATTATTGGTTCACATTATTTCTTCTCTAGTTTGATTTTATAAGCCTTATTTGTTTCAAATTGTTATAATTAGTTTTTTAATATCAGTTGAGAGAAAAAGTAGAAATATAAAACTATGTTAATAATGTTTGTTTTGATTTAGACATCTTTAAGAAGCAAAAATGTGCTAAAAATAGAAAAATAAATAAATTATCAGTTTTAGTTTGCAGAATTTTTAAGTGGACAGAGTGGGGATGAATAAATGGAAACGGTATCCAATGATAATATCGCTCTTATACTCTTATAAGAGAAACCATCCGGTTAGAGAAACGTTTAGTCAAGGCTGGTCGCTCTGTCACGCTCACTACATTCGCAATACTGTGCAATATGATCGGGTCGGTATACTTTCCTTTTTGCTATTTCATGTGTTCAGGTAGCCAGCAAAAGTGCTAACGTCAGAATTTGTGCGCGATATTTTTGCAAACTTCGATTTATAAAAACTATATAGGAATTTTTTAACGTGCAACTTTCAATCAAATTGTTTTTACGATTTAACGCTGTAAGAACGTTTTATAGTGTGAAAAGTTTTATTTGTGATGCTTGTGACAGTGGAAATTATTATTACGCAAGATATTAACAAGAATGCGTTTATCGAATGTACTTTCAATAAATAAAACGCACATCTTTGTATCGTATAAATGCATTGTGATTTAGGATAGTGTAATACTGAATTAAAAAATACCAGATGTCATGAGATCAAACGTGCTCTATATCGTGTTTTTATTTTTTGCTCACAAATTGTATAATTTTCAATCTAATCAAGACAGAAAAAATAATTTATTTAAACACGTTTAATTATTTCTACAAGAAATTCTGATAAAATGTCGCAGAGAATTAACATATAGTAAAAGAAAACCTTATATTTTGAAAATGTTAATTGATAATCGTTCATTTCTTTTATGACAAGTGATATCATAAATTGATATTATAGCTGATATTGATATACATATAAATAATTTACTTAGTCATTCTTTTGCTTTTAAAGTAATAATAAAAATGATATAATAATGAACGATAAGTTTCTGCAAAACGTATTAAGCGTTAATAAAAGATGAGATTACTCGATATGAGCAATGTGCAATGTGTAATCACGTGCAATCAGTACGTTATGTGCAATTAAAGCCGCAAGAACGCAATCATTACATATAAAAGAGGAAAATCTTCAATGTTTCAAATAAACTAAATGAAATGGAAAACCTCAAGGTATATTATCGGTAAAAAAAATTTTTTTACCTTGAGAATTTATCGATAGTATTGCGTTTTATGTAACACTCGTTACTTGCTGTTAACTGCTGCTACATTTACAAAATCATTTAACTAGCGATTGACATAAGTAAAATTACATATACAATTTATTTTTAAATAATAGCGCTATGAATGCATTTTTGCTCTAATAGAAAGAAATAGAAGAATAAATTTGAAATGATGATCAAACAACAATACAAGATATCGTACATTGTAAACTCTTATCTATCTAAAAAGAAAAAGAATTCTCTTTCTCTCTTTATATAGTAGGCTGATGTTAAATGTATGGCTTTGATAACATATTGAATAAATAAGATAGCTAATTCGCGACCCTCACAGATAAAATCAAGAAATTTATTTTCTCAATTATTTACATAGATATACTAGATTATTTTTGGTACGTCGCGTATCTTTAGTATATGTTTACAATTGAGTTTAAAGACAAGAACAAATGTAACAAAAAAGTGGGTTTAAAAAATATAGTTGTATATTTTCTCATATCAATTATTTCTATATATGTGTAAAAAATATGATACTTAAAATATGATATACATATATTTATACATGTATATAATACATATTGTACTTAATATTATTTATTAATTATATTTTTATTATTTATTACAGTTTATTGTTTACATGTTAGTTTTTAAGTAAATAAATATTTACAACACGCACACATATATACATTTAGTCACAATCTTTCAAAAATCAATCATAGAAGTGTGGTTTTTATTTCTCGTAACTTTGAATTGGAGATAAAAGAGTATATAAAACAGATCGAGATGTATGCTACGTTATATATAGGAGCTCAACGCTCAAGCTCATACACAATATACATGCATACATACGTTACATAGTCTTGGATCAGTGAATGACATAGTAATTGTCTTTGTGTACCTCGTGCGTAAATGTGCGACAACGCAATGATAACTGAATCACGTTCTTACTTTAAAGCAGTAAAGGTGCGACAAAGTAGTGACAAAAACATACTGCACTCGCACCGATGGATTTTCAAATAATACATTAATTTTAAAATAATATCACAGTTATAATATATATATACAGTTTTGTCAATCGTGTGAATACTAATTGTAAAATATTTATAAGATAATTTAAAATTTTTATAGATAGTTGCTTTGATCACGCAGCCTTGTTATTGTGACGGTTTAGCGCGATATTTATGATGATATCTCGTCTCGTTCAAGACTTTAATTGCTGTTATAAAATTATTGTTGTAGTTTGCACACACTTTCTGTGATATATGATTACGTATGATCGTGCAATGTACAAATTTAAACATACTAATAATTGTTCATATAATTACGTGTTATATTGATAGATCCTTATAACCGTGAGTTGAGTGAAAATGCGGTCATGGCAACTGTCAGAGCCGTACTTACTCATGGGAGAGATTTGAATAAGCAAAAGCTTTTTAAGTGTTAATAAATTTAAAAATCTCTATTGTTCTCAGCTTCAATTTGTATGTACATCAGTTGCACAACTATATTTATTAAAAAACAAAAAAAAAATATATCAATAAAATAATAATAATATATCAATAAAACCGGCCAATATGAACAACAATACAGTAAATAACAGAATATAAAAACTATTTTGCAATTATAAATATTGTTTGCAACAAACTTTTTGGTTTAAATAAATAATTTTGCATGTATAAAACTTAAAAACTCACATTTTAGATTACAATAAACTGCGAAAATATAATTTAAATGAGAAAATATATCTTTGTTGTATAATGTTTTTTTAATTTCGATCTATTATGTAAGTCTTTGTAACATTTTTCTATTTTGTTTTTACAGAATACAAAAAAAAAAGCTATTTTTATTAACAGCATTCGCACTTGTAATTGTTATCGTGGCGATAATAATAATCGTTCTTATAAACGCAGACTCCAAATGCGGCGCGAAATTCGTCAGTTCTTCCGATTTAGGAAGGTATACAAAGGTAATACTTAGGAATCAGAATGAAAAAAAGAAAAATCAAATTTTTTTAACCAAAATTGCAGTATCAGAAAAACTGATTTTTGCAATCTTATGTATATTTTATACGTATATAGAGTATATACATATATAGAGTATATACATATAGAGTATATATGTATATAGAGTATATACGTATAGAGTATATACATATATAATCCAAATATTCACATGTCTATAACAGGGCGCCGTGACAACTAATGGCCAAGAATGTGCAAAAATTGGTGCCGATATCTTAGCTAAAAATGGTTCAGCAGTGGATGCAGCAATAGCGGCACTTCTTTGCGAAGGCGTCGCGTCCTTACACAGGTATATTGTCTACCTACATCACGCTTTTATTCAGTTCAGTCAATATTTATCATGCAAGACACGTCTCACATTTCAACGAGATCTGACTAATTTTATACAATTTTTGCGATGAAAATACATGTATTGAGAATATCTTTATATTCCACTTAAAAGCATGGGACTGGGTGGAGGATTTCTTATGACAATATGGGACGCAAAAACCAAAAAAGCGTATTATCTAGACGCAAGAGAGACTGCTCCAAGCGCTGCGGACAAGAACATGTTTGATGGCAATGCCCATCTATCCATGTATGGTGAGATTTTTTCATGCACAAAAGCTTCTTGACCGATATATTTACAATTGTATATATATATGTATATATACAATTACATTATCGTTACAAACTGTTTTTCTATATCGATTTGTGCATATAATTATAAAATACTTTATTATATCTTTATGTATATTTTACGAATGCATGTATATATGTAATTGAGACTTATGTATACTAAATAGGTGGACTGGCAGTCGCTGTACCAGGTGAGCTCAAAGGCTATTGGGAAGCGCATCAAAGGTTCGGAAAATTGCCATGGCGTGAATTATTTGAACCCACCATTCAATTGTGCAAGGATGGATCCCTCGTTAATGATTATCTTGCCGCGTACTTAGTTGAGAAGGAACCTATGATAAAGAACGAAAGCAGTTTAGCAGAAATACTTATAAATCGTGCTACTAATAAAACGTGGGTTGTGAGTAAGATCTAACTTCATTTTTCAAATTGTTTACTTTTTTTAATCTTAAGACAAGTCTTTTATTTAACGAATATTTTATAAAAAATGACTAGAAAATAAGATGTCAAGAAGAAAATATTTATAGGCGGGAGACAAAATAAAAAGAGAGAAACTAGCAGACACGTTAAGATTGATAGCAAATAGTGGTAGCTCTGACATATTTTACAACAGCACCATTACCGATCAGTTAGTAAAAGAGATAAAAGAATTCAATGGAATAATCACAAAACAGGATTTTGCCAACTACAAGTAAGTTTTAATATTTTCTTTTTTTGTTTTCAGCTTTTCGGATATTTTCAACTTTTAGATATTCGTAAAGCGCGAAATTGACTGTTTATTTCAAAAGAGAAATGTGTAGCAAAAGTAATTACAAATTTATAATTCAGTCTTTAAGTAAGCAAAATTTTATGATAGCATACATTTTTGTGATAAGATTTTATGATAGCATACAATTTTTTTTTTGCAGATAAAATGTTATGATAGCATACATTTTTTTGACAGATAAGAAATAATTATAAGAATAGAGATAATATAAAGTAATTCGTAAAATAGTACGAACTAAAGATTCAATATGAAAGTAAATAATATAAATGTTCTTGCTCGAAATTCGTTCGACTTGGCTTCGATCTCGATGGCTGTGGACTCTCCATCTCCTCAGCAAGCGTTTGCCGTTATTTTCTGTTTTCAAAGACGTTTATCAGGTTGCCTTATTGTTTTCTATCTGTAAAGTAACTTTTGATTTTGTAAACTGCTAATTGATCTCCGATCGACAAAATATTTATCTTAGCGAAATGTCAATGCATACATAAATACACGGTATAAGATATAATTAACTTTCTTTTCTACACTTTATACACGTTTTAAAATGTAATATACAAATAAGTCTTTCTACAAGAATTGAAAAATTAATTTCATAAAAAATTAATAAAGCAGCAAACCACAATATCGATAAAAAAACATGCTTTATAAATAAGATGTAAATTAAGTTATAATGAGTGAAATAATTAATTATAGAATATTTTCTAAAATGTCGAAATCTACACAAATATGCTATTAAAGTTTAACAGAATTAAAATAAAAGAGTTGTGTGATAAAACAATTAATTAAAGTAAAATATACGTATAATGATAAACATATCTCACAATTTATTGCTCTCTTCCTTTTTTTTCAATCAGAATTTATTATCAATAGATAATCACTCAGAATTTATTATCAATAGATAATTACTTGATTTTTGATTAAGAAAAGTATAAGAAACAACAGTACATTTACATGGCATTATCGATATTGATATTAATCATTGATTATTACGCCTGAACGTAAAAATATACATATATATAATCTGTATGTGAAAGAAAATAGAGAATATTTCTTTTATTGACAAATTTTTTTCAGTTTTTACATAAAATTTTCAGTATTCACATAAATTAGTTTTATATCATAAATATGTTGAGAATAATGTAATTATTTTCTTAAATTTGAGATTACAAAAAGCATATAAACAAAAAATAGTGTTAGTTACGGTTACCCATATTGATAACGGAAACTTTTTACAGAGTTAAATGGAGAGAACCGATTGCATTAAAAATGGAGAAAATGACAATATACAGTGCTCCACCGCCGGGTTCGGGTGCAATATTGATGTTCGTAATGAACGTCCTTCGTCGACTTCTACCTGTAAATGATGAGAATATAATGTGGCAACGTATAGTGGAGACTTTTAAATGGGCTTATGCAAGAAGAACCGAGTTGGGAGATCCTGATTTTGTTGAAGGCATAAGTGAGATTTTTTGTTTCTACATTAAAATTGCATTAAAATCTAACACGCATATTTCTACTGCAAATTTCGTCTTATTAAAACATTTTTTTAACAACACGTTTCTGTAGAGTATAATTTTTTTTTAATTTTATCGTAACATTAATGCGTGTAATGATAATTAAACAAAGAAAGGAAAATAGTTCTCCGAATGTTATTGCGCACGTACCATCGCGATTCAGCGCGTTTTTTTCCAAGAACTGCAGCGTCCGACGTTGCGCCTAATAACCGCGTAGTGCAACGTAGTTAAAGCGAGATCTAATATCAAGAGAGAATAAAATTCTGATGTGGGTCTGACTTTGTCTAGTATGATTTTGAACATAATTTGCTAAAATCCCGTCAATTCTCTGAAAGTTAAATGCAATATAGAACCGTTTCTTTGTACAGACGAGGTGCTTGCCAATTTAACGTCCAACGATTACGCGGAAATGATAAAAGAGAGAATAAAGGACGATCGTACGAGTCAAGATCCGGAAGAGTATGGCGCTGTTACTGAAACGAGCACAGATTCAGGAACGGCACACGTTTCCGTTCTCGCTCCTGATGGTTCCGCCGTCTCTGTTACATCAACTATTAATCAGGTGTAAGTAAATTATATGCGATGTATCTTTGAATTAAACAGAAAATCGCAAATTATTACGAGAAAACTGGAAATAAAAATATTTAAATTAGACAGATTAAATCGCGGAAATTCTCGCTCAGCAGCTTTATTTTCACGTTCGTTAATTACGTAACAGAGATACGTTAAAAATTCTGATGTCGAAAAACGTCGATTGAATTTTGTTGCTTTGTCTTCGAAATATATCTGATATTTCCGTTAAAAAAAACACAGTTTGCAAGTGGTTTAAAAAATAAAACGATTCAAGTGCGGAAAAATCCACAGTGTAACTTCGCAGAAATACATTACATAATGCAATATATTGTATCCTTCTGAAAGCATCTTTATTTAACAGGTTTGGCGCGATGATACGTTCGAAATCCACCGGTATAATATTTAACGACGAGATGGACGATTTTAGTTCGCCCAATATAACCAATGGCTTTGGACTCCCGCCGTCACCGGCAAATTTTATTGCGCCCGGCAAACGACCGTTGAGTTCGATGTGTCCGACTATAGTAGTAAGACTATTGTGTATATATCGCAAATAGAAATGTTAACTAATTTGTTAAAAATAACAATTTAAGAAACACCGTACAATTAGACGTTTTGTACATTACCATCAAGATCTAATGAACTATGCTTACAAGAACATTGCAATTAACAATTGTGATGTCACGTGAACCTCGAGTCTAAGAATCGCCTTGCTCAACGTTATTAATTACAATTCGCACGCGCGATCATCAAAGCGATTCTTCATTCTTTCTTACTGCTATTCTTGGTTCTACTTCTGTGTTTCTCATTCTGCTATAAATGCACGAACTTCTAGTAGATTTCCGTAACAAAATTTTTTTACAATATAATTTGGAGAGAAAGCATAGTTACTCAACATACAATACCAGCTGCATTCCGATATTCATTAGCAGTACTAGAAATCTATACTTTACGTCACATGTGATGTAGATTTCCGGTACTGGCAGTGAATATTGGGACGCAGCCATGAGTTATCACGTGAGCAGTTAATGTGAACTCATTTAATTCAATCATGCCATTCTTCTTTAGGTCGACCAAAACAACAATGTGAGATTAGTAATTGGCGCAGCCGGCGGCACTAAAATCACAAGCGGTGTCGCGATCGGAATGCTTTTGAATCTTTGGTCTGGATATGACATAAAAGAGGCAATTGACGCAAGAAGACTTCATCACCAAGTTAGTTTAAACAATTAAGAAATCGTTTAAGCAAAGAAACACTTAAAGCTAACTCTTTACATTAGAACAAAATTTTGAAATCTTACATATATAATTTTTTTAAACATTGCAGTTGCTACCTATGAATCTTCAGAACGAGCATGGATTTTGTCATAGTGTATTAGATTATCTAGACAAAATCGGACATAACACTTCTACTTTTACTGGAATTGGCAGCGCGATTACGGCCGTATCCAGTGAAAATGGAGAAATAACTGCAAATTCCGATTATCGCCGACAAGGAAAGACAGCAGGATTTTAGGAAGTATTTTGTTAGAGTGAACGCCATAGTTGTATTAGAGAAATTATTCTGCGTGTGCTATAGTTAAAAATAAGCTACAATAAATCCAAAATGTATTTGTACACCTAGGTTTTGTACAATATCTTTATATAAACAAATGATATATTAACAAAAACAGTATTCATTAATAGTCAATTATGTGCTGAGTAACATTTTTTAATAATGCGCATTACAAAAAATTAATAAAGAAAATACATAAATTTGAATGCCAAAAAAGTACACTTGCGTTTTACATAGAAAATACACAATTCTTTTAAAGTTTTTAATACAAAACAAGTTTTTAATCTTGCATTCTGTATTGAATTATCTCATGACACATCGATATGCATTCGAACTTCCGTAATTTTTTCGATATAAATGCTAATCTTCCAACTTTATTATAAGACATACAACGGCAAACTATTATGTGCACTATTATTAAGTGTGGGTGTACAAATACTTTTTGGATCCACTGTATTAGTAAGATACTGTACTTGTAAGATATCTTTTATGCTTACAATTACCAATAACTTTCTTACATGGCATGAAATCTGTATACCAAGTAATCTGGCGTTAAAAAAAAAACATCTCGGGAAGACAAGTATTTTATTTATATAGACAAATTTTCTATGTGATTAGATATAGTATAATTTGCACAGATATAACGTCCGTTAGACAAATGAGCATCTAATTGTATAGTTCATATATAATATTTACGCTCTCATTGACTAATAGTTTACTAATCATTGCAAAGTTTGCAAAAGTATATACATGACTTTTTTGTTCAACTTGACTCAATTTATCTTTCTACTTTAGTCATAGACGTATAGACTAGAAATTGCGAGATATTCGCTTCGCGACTTGTAACTATATCTTGTGAATTCGTGAATCGGCAAAAATAACCGAACGCTTCTTTCTGAAGTTTAACGGAATTTAACGGTGTGAATTCACACACAATGCTGTATGTAACAGCTTAACTTAATAAAATCGTGTGTATATACATTTGTGTCATTTGCGTGTAAAATAAAAATACACATTTGGAAGTCAATTTTTTTATTATTTATATATTTTTTTGTATTATAATATTAATTCAGGAAATCTTAATAAGAAACGCAACTTTTTATATTACATATAAGATACCCACAAGGCAAAATTCGCGTACGTCGCACATTCAGCGCGCGCGTTTGCTTGTTTCGCGCGAAGCTCACTTCAGCCTTCTCGCGTAACATCCTACCGACATTGTCCCGCTTTTTTTAGCGACGTCATTGTTGACGCAATTTCTAGTCTTACTTATGTCTATGACTTTAGCTATGTCAAAAAAAAAAAACAGTCATTTTATATAACAAATTTTAAAACAAAAATAATCTGTAATTAATAACATAGGTTTCTATGCTTCGTAAATATTACTGTTGTATCTTAATTCACACACATATACGAACACGCATTATCTAAAAGTATTGATATATTTATTAACAAACTTAAAGAAAAAATTAATTATAATGCACGTCTAAAAAAGAGAACATAAATATAGTTTATAACTTGTTTGCATTTTTGACATTATTTTATTAATATTTATTTAAAAAAATATATTAGAGTAAGAAATTACACTATCTATAACATTTTAATCTGACTCGTTTTGTGTCTGTTTTGTTATTGAGTTGCTACGTGCTATACGTTCCTATTTGAAGACAGTATTTATATGGCTAGAAAAAAGAACTTTAAATTTGGACTAATTTCTAACGAAAGAATGTTTTTAAGAGATAATAAGTAATTCAACATGATAAAAGACATCTGATCACTTTTTAGATTGTCTACATAAGTATGTCGATATTAGATATGTAGTAGTCCGTAGATAAAAATATATGATAATCATATCAATAGATATATGTAGGATGTTGTGTGATTAAAACATCCGACATTCTTGAAATATACGTACGTATATGATAGATACAATATATATATGTACGTATATGTATATACATATATAAAATCTGTATATACACATACACAATAATATTAATATTGTTACGTCCGGATGTCTGGACTTTAAAATAAATAAGATCAGAAGAAAAACTAGGCTAAGAACTTTTTAAACACGCGTTTTATTCACAATAATTATAGAACTCGAATACAAATATACAGAGTCCGGAGCTTCTTAAAACGCCCGAATCGCATCGATTTCTTTAAATCTGCCACTTGAACCTCGAAATCAACAAAGTGTTTCCATTCATTCTACAAAGCATTGCTCCTTTCATCAATCAAACTGTCATTACTTCTTATCGCGTGATGACGCAAAATGTTGGCAACAATATAATTAATATTATAGTTAATGTTAATGTTATTTAAATAAAAAATAAGTAAAACAATCTTTACAATCTTTTTTTTAATAAACTGCTTTTTTGTATTTAGAAGAGTGCAATTGTAAACATAAAAAGTCGTTTGTCTGCTTTGTTTTGTTTCAGAAATTGTATAGTTTCTTCAAGGTTAATCTGCCGCTACAATAATTGATATTCCGCTTGAATTTCTATCTTAATCATTGTACATTCGGTGTATCTACATACGTCATGAATATAAAATACATACCTTTGTCCGTTAATACGATCATGTGACCTTTATTATTTACTTCCGCATATTATATCTTTGTATGTGTATGTATGAATATGTGCGCGCTCGCAAGTTGTGTATCCATTCCATCTTCTCACAAATAGAACAAAAAATTTAAACATAAAAAGTTTGTATTTTTATTTTTAAATGTATTTTTCTTGTATAATTAGAATATTGTAATATAATTGTTGCAATATAGGTTTTAGATAATGCAATTTATAAAATAAGAATATATGTGTGTGTACAGAATAAAATAGACAGTTTAGAGAAAAAAATTAAAATAGTCATTCTTAAAATTCAACACATATTTTACAATAACGTAATTGTAGAAATCTCATATTTAAGTATTTGAAAAAATGTATGTGACAGAAATGTATGTAATATAAACTATGCATTTTTTTATTAACTTTTTTGACAGCTGAATAAACGAGCTTCTATCGTCATGCAAAAGTGTTTAAGTTTCATGACTAACCAGACTTCTCATCTGTTCACTTTGTTGGTTTGACAGTATAATTCACGGTAGTGTCTCAAATAAACCAACATTATTTCACAATCTCACGAACAGAATGTACAACATACATAATTATCCAAAACACATGTTGTAAAGCAAGCACGTTGTTTTATCAAACTGTCTGACGTATAAGAGGACTGTTTTATTGGTTGAAAACGATTTTCATTAGTCATCAAACCGCACGAGATTGAATTTACATATTCGATGTTATTGTATCACGTGTAATAACGCAATTTTCCAAGAATGGAGACATTACAAAGTCATTGTGCACTTTGACATGGTAATGTCACGAACAAACGGAGCATAAATGAAACACCAAGCAAACTCCGCGCTTGGAAATTCCGATTATGATTGTGATTATTTTAATTATACGTCTGTATTTTTCCACAGAAAAACAGGAAAAGAGAGAGAGAGAGAGAGAGAGAGAGAGCCAACTGCTGCTTTTTTTGCTTTGTCTGTATTTTACACATGTAAAATCGACAGAGAATCTGTGTGCGATCGTGTGATTTGCGTAGAGGCTCTTCGTACGCTTCATATGCGAGTCAAGTTTCGACAAAATACAATACATTGACCGATATGAAATCGACGTGTTTGCACTAATTTCAAGAGTGTACGGTTCACGAACACATTAATCGAGATTCCCGTTTGTCGTTGAAAATAAGACGCGCAAGAATCAAAAGCGGGACACAGAGAAAAAGAGAAAAAAAAAGTGGAAAAGAAGAAAATAGAGAAAGAAAGAGACACGAGATAGTGGACAGAAATTCTTAATTTCCTGTGCTTTGTTCTTGTGACCATGGTAGTCCGTTTCATTTCCGTTTTGTTGTGCCGAGGTAAACGAAACGAAGGTAGAAAAAAGAAAGATCAAACATTATGAAAAGCAGCCACTGCTGGTTCCGATTAAAACACAGACCGTTTGCACGTAAAAATTGTCCAGTTATCTGTCGCATGAATATTTATATTTCTCTCACAAAAACTTGTGTAGTTAATCTTGGATACTAACTACTATAATTTCAATATTAACAACGCGTAAGAATATTAACATATTGATTCTATAAGTCAGTATTATATGGCAATTTGTAGCACTTACTTCATACAATTTAGTTATGTTATAATTATTAATATCTAAGTAAAAAAGAAAATTTAAAATAATTATGTAAGAAATATATTTATAATATTTAAAAGTATGTGTTTTCGATTAATATAAATATATTTTAATCATGTACGTTGTGCACGTGTATCTCTCGATGTGTCACTCTTACAAACATTCACTTTTAATAAAATTTAAATTTAGAAATAATAAAGAACAAGGATAAAGTTTGTTTTTCATTGATTTATCCTCATACATTGTATGATCTTGAGAGCCTGTGTCAGACACAGACTATTTTTAAATTTTTTGTGAATTCGAAAAGTAGTTTGTTGTTAAATGTGTTTACAAGATAAAAAAGGATTGTGACCTTTGTTCTGATATTTCAGAACATGAGGTAAAAATAGTGGAGTTACCAAACGATGTGACCTGTTTTTAATCAATTTTAAATTATTTATCTTTTTAATTAAATCTAATAAGTATATAAAATGTAAAAAATATCTTAAGTGTGTGAGATATTGAATATTTATTTATTATTAAATTCTCAAATTAGTTATTTATATTAGAATTTATATTAAAAGACAATAGAAAACTGAAGAAACAATCTATACTAATTTTAAAAAAATGTCTTAGTAGATATGATACCAAGTAGAAAAGCCGAACGTTCTCATTTTTCTACTGATTACATCCAATTACAAGAAATGAATCATATTTCATCGAAAAATTCCGTTATACGTGAGAGGTTTCTAAAATTAACACGTATGTTGTATATCGGCGCGAACTTTGATATTTTGTTTTGTTACTCCCTTCCTAAATGTCTGACGAAGTCTTTATAAGCAAGAGTTGAGGAACGATGCTTCGCACCGCGTGTTCAGTCCGCAGTTGTCAGTCGAGAGTAGGAGCTGGGTCTGATTGGACCCACTGGCACATCGTTCTGACGTTCTCTGAACAGGTAAACGCAGTGGCAAAATACTTTCACCAGGATGCTGAGAGAAACGGTTCTAGTTTTCGCGACAGTTGTCGTATTCGCCAGTGCAACAGTAGTTAATCATTGCGATTCAGGTATGTAAGATACGCCAAGTTTTATAAAAAAAAAAAAAAATACACACGCATAAAAAGTATAATAAACAATTGTTTTTGATAAAAGTTCTGTTTAAAAGTAATTAAAATTTACTACTTCTACAAATTTTATTGCTTCAATTGTATCATATATCAAGACGTCTTCTTCTTCTCTTTGTTACAGTAACGCAAGAAAAAGATATCTTTAGTAGATAAAATTCTTTAAGTAAAATTTTTTAGATAATATATGTGTACATGTCTTGTGAGTAGTATTTATAGAAATAGTTTTAAAATTGACTTAAAACTTACAATTATTTCTTGAAGTTAGTGGAAAGGCCAGTATGTTTGCTTTAAAATTATGGCTTCTCTTTGCGCGAATTCGCTGATATCGCTAAGTGTCTATATAAGCGAAACTTAACGATATTATGATAACTTTTGATATTGCGTTAAACAATTCTTAATATTTAGAGGTCATTCCTAACATTATTTTATTAAATTTGATTTATTTGATTGTAAACAGAAATCGTAAAATAAAATCAATGCCGACCGATAATAGCTTTAATAGTTTGCGTTTACTATTCTGATATCGCATGAAAATAAAATGTCAACTAATATTTCGAACATTTTCTAGTTTTTTATTTGTACAAACCGAAGAAATGTAAACGTCTAGAATTTTATATGATAACATTGTTCAGGATGTTTCCTTGAAAATTAGTAGATGATGAGATCATTTTAAATTATCACGCGAGCAGAGCAAATGGATATTGAGCGATTACGTCGAAGATTGTGTCCTTTCGTGCTGTGACACATGCCTATAATTCTAGTAATCCTCGTAATTTTGCTATCACGAGTACGATGCGCTTAATGATTGCTTAATTATCGAAGACATAATGTGAACGAGGTAACGAAGCTAACAGTATTGTTATTGATATCCGTGTAATTATTTACGGGAAAACATAATTGACATGCGGTGAAAGTGATGAGCGGAATACTAACGTGAACGATAATTTACCACTGACATGTTCTACCGGTAGAATTTCAACGCTATATTAGAAACCTACGTGAAAATGTGTTCACTGCACAGTATATCGGTTACACACAGTACGTAAATATTTTGATTCGTTTAAGTTTCACACAAAGCAACGTACTCTTCGCTATATTTCAAACGTGTAATCGAAAGCAGGAAGAAGCGCATATATATATGTATATAGTATGCAGCATGTCTATTATAAAACACAATTGTGGCCGATTCGTGAACCGATAAAACCACTATATTGTCTTCTTAGATATTAACATGGAAAATTGCGTACTTGAGTATGATGTCATTTTTCTACTTCCTTATTCGAAAACATGTCAAGTTTTTAAAGCATGTTTTTTTATAAACAATATAATTTCTTTCAACAACTTGATTATTATTTGCGCACAATAATTGCACGTAAGAAAACGGAACAAAACAAAAATGACAGAAGAAATATTTGTATAACAAAAATTATATTTAAACAGATGTCTTTTTATATTTATACGTCACTGTTTACGGACGCTACAGTACAGGTGTGTTATTACCTTTTTTATTATCTTTTTTTTGCTAACTATTTTAACGTAACGACCTTCAGATTTACAAATATAATCATAAAAACATAATAATCTTTCAACACGTAACTACACGTAACACGTCTATCTATCTTAAATACACTCATATTCACGCAACGTTATAGTCACGTATATAACTTTTACAAAAAATCGTTTATTATTTAAAACTTGACAGCTCGTTAATAAGTAGTCAATAATTGTTTATATAAATGATATATTACATTAACTTATAAATCTGTAAATAGAAAATTTTTGTTTCTCCTTTGATATTTTTTGTGAACTTTTCAAGATATGTATGTCATATTTTGCGTTCCGTTAATTAAATTAAACTGGAATAGTTAACACGAATATCTCTTTAGTATACATACACTAAGAGTAAATTTTCAAGTTACTCAATGTGTATATTCTTTATTATACAGGATGTCTGAAAACTTTTGACTCAGCCGAAGTGTGAAGATAGATTGGATTAAAATCCATCTGAACCAAAAAGTTGTGTGTCATTTTACAAAATTTGCAATAGTTATTGAGTGATTAATTAATACATGTGATCCAATAAGCGCGTGGAAAACAATGATCCAGATTTTGTAGGCGTGTATGATTTTCTAGTATGAAAATCAGGTGATTACAAGAAGCTGTGTCACATGTTACAGTCAGTTACGCACTGCTTGCTTATTTGCTCCGCCTTTTGTTGCTAAGACACTTGTTTATTTGTTCTGCCTCTTGCTCTCTTCATCTCTTAAGAGATTGCATAAAGTAAACCATTTTTTTTTTACAACTAAAAATCATACACGCCTACAAAATCTAGACTATTGCTTTCTACACGCTCATTGGATCACAAGACTTTTCTGTTCAGATTGATTCAATCTATCTTTACACTTTGGCTGCGTCAATTTTTCAGACACCCTGTATATCACTGACTTTGAGACTCGACGAAGGAGATCAGGTCTCAAGGTGATCTACCTTCAATTTAAAGTTATTGGAGGAAATAAAAAAAAAGATTAGTAAGTATATAAGCAGATTCTCTTCAACTAAACATAATAAAAAACTGTTACATCAACGAGTGTGTAAATGTACTGTGTGTGTAATCGAGTACAATATATTAATTTTAAGTTATGATTTTGTTCAAATAAGAAAACATCACTGAGTGTAATTACCCAATAAAATACAAATATAAACTTACATACAAAGCCACTGAAGCAACAATACAAATATCGCAATATGAAATTAACAAGAAAGAGATTATTTTAAAGAAGTGACTTTTTGCTCAGAACCTTTGATCTTTGCGAGAAAATGTGAAGGAGCGTTGCTGACGAGCAAGCGTTTTATTAATGTCCGGTTTTGCATATATTTGTGTTTGCGCAATTTTAACTTCTTGTTTTAATCTTGTTGATTTTATTGCAATATTTTTTTACTGTTATTGTTAGTGAAAAAAGAATTTTGGATTCAAAATGTTCCACAAAATAATTTGTGACTGAAAATTTGTGTTTTGTATAATTGTATAAATTAATTAAAGTAATATGTGATTTTAATTGTTTTATTACTATTATTTTTTTATTTACTATCTTGTGTTGCTCTTTTTGCTGGCCTATCAATATCAAAAACAGTTTTTAAATACGAGATTAAAAGATAAAACTTTTTTTTTGAGGAACGATCTTGGCAATTTCTACGTAAAAAGTGCAATTTTATATAATTGCATTTTATTGATTTAGTATAAATGATTCATTTGTTTTCAGAAGTTCCATTCGAGGATTCCACGCAAATCAGCGTATCTAACTGTGAGACACCTACGTGCGAATTAAAACAAGGAACAACTGCTACCATACAAATCAAACTCGTGCCCAATCGAACTATCGAGACTTTAATTAATGAAGTAGGCGCTATTCTTTTTAACGTACCTTTGCCTTTTGTCGGAGTAGACGGAACAAATGCTTGTGATAATATTTACAAACCTGATGGCATCACCAAAGTTGGATGTCCACTTGAGAAAGGCGAAGAATATCTTTACAGAAACAGTTTTCCTATTCTAGCATTGTATCCCAGAGTAAGTTTGCAAATCTTCTTATATATTGTTTGCATCTTCTAATTTATTGTGTGCAATAAATGATAAGATCGTAAAAGTATATTTGTTTACTGCACTATAATTGTATCTGTTTATTACACTAGTACTAGTTAAGTAGACATTTATATAATAATACAAGTCAAGCGTAATTTGGGATAATTTGATAAAGATCGGGTTCTGTAAAGACTACGTACATCATCGGTTAATTATGTACAGCTTGTTTCTTTCGTAACTGATAAACTTCTCTGTCTCAATAAATGTTTATGTTGTTTACAGGTTGCATTAGTGGTACGTTATGCATTGCGAGAAGGTAATGACAAACTTATATGCTTTGAGGTACCGTCGAAAATTACAAAATAGACTCCATCAAGCATTGCACAGCATGTGTTATCGAAGTAGCAACCTTGGACTTACGTAATTTAATTATAACCAGGGGAAGAGAGAGAGGGAATGAAATAATAATATACAGAATTCTCAACGCAACACAAATATTTATTGAATATCTATTAAATTTTCTATGGATATTCAATATTTTTAATAAATATTTATAAGATAATTTTAGAATATCGTATGATGTCTAAGATATTATGCAAAATAATTCTTCAGAGATGCACAGTGTGAAATATGTACATGTAACATTTTTTAATACATTAATTATGTGATGTTTATAGATGACATATAGATAAAATTTTTAATACAATAAACACAATAAATTTTAATTTTCTACAATTATATTTATTCCACCTATTTTTACACAGTATCTAAGTCGTAAATTAAACTAAAATCATAATTTTTTTTAATAAACGATACACGTCATATAAATTTTAGTTTTTACAGTTTTTTAACATATCATACATATTTAGCTTTATAAATAATATATAAAAAAATTTCTAGGTATATTTTAATGTTAGATGTGTTATTTTTTTATTTTTATAAATATATAAGAACATGTATTTAATATATGTATTAAATTTACAATTTTCATCAACTAATAAATTTAGATCACAGCTACGATACATATTTATCATTGCAATATTACCGATAGTCGATACAAACTATTCACACAAGCATACATATATATATAACATGTTTTATGATCATAAAATCGTATTTAAAAAGTATATTATTAATTATAAAATATTAAATATATTATTATCGCAACAATACGTGCAAATAAAAAAAAACATTGGCGGCTTCCCCACAACTTATTCCAAAAAATAACAATTCTATTACATATTAGTAAGTATTATATACGATAAAATAAAATTCAGTTCAATTTGCCATCATATGTAGTAAGTCACAAAAGTCTGTGTGTGTGTTTGCATTCATATAATATAACAGAAAAAATGTAGATAAGAATATATATTACGAATATACACTACTTGTATGATTGTTTATCATCACCTGTATACACACATGCGCGCACGCATGTATGTATGAACATGTGTACATAGGCACTCAATTCATTGACTATTTAAAAAGACGTTTATAAAATAATAACGTTTTTGAATAATAAAATTTAAAACAAAAACGAAAATGTAATATATGAGCTGCTCGTTTTGTAACAAAACTAACTTTTGGAAATACAGAGAAAGAGAAAAAGAGAGAAACAGAGAATTTGCAACGTATGTTTAACATAATATGGTAACCCACAGGACCGTGCCGATATAGTAACATTACATTTCAATTGACGGAATGTGGATAATAATTACAAATATGTAGTGACCACTGTGATTCTTTAATTACGATATTGGATTGTTCGCAAGTTTTCAATGAGATTATTCTATTTATTACAATCTGAATGATACATGTTGTTAATAAATATTTGCGGTTGCTTGAAACAATATACTAAAATAGAAAAAATAGAAATAAAATCATAAATATTAATAATGATATATGTAACATAATCTCTTATTATAAATTAATTTAAAATGTACAGTTCATATAAATGTGATTGGTAACACACCGTTAAATCACCTTACGTTATTCTCTCTTTTCCATTTTTTCAAAATAGGTGCAAGTAAATTGAGTATCATTTGTATGAATATCGCGTATCGTGTGTGAGAATGAATGTTGCTAGTGGCGATTAAAAAACTAGCTGTCTGTATTGAGATACACAATAATAGATAGTTGTTCAAACAACAATATTCGGTAACAACGCATAGCTCGACAATGATTGCATGTATCTGGAATGTTACGTTTATATGATATGTATACACGTAACGTAATCGCGGTTGCAGAAAGCGACGATGATGAATGTCAATAAAATATCAAATAAATAATTTGCGCGCATAAACGCGTGCATATATCATCTTGAAAATGCCAAATAAAATATTAAATTTATTAATGATAATTAAATAATGTTAATCAATATTATGTATACATATATTTATTAACAATAAATTAATATCGCACTGATACATAACATTCGGTTGACGAGAGATTTTACATTAAATATAGCCAATTACTTCCAATTATCGCGTATAAACGCATTTTGATACCTGTACATTAGTTATCTCAAATCTGGCAAATCACACACAGTTTCGATCTATATATACAGTTGAATTCCTGTTTGCATATCCTGAGAGCAAATAAAATGTAAAAATATTTTGCTGAAGAAATTGAGTGAGCAAATAATTCTTTGTGTGTACTTTCTTTTTTTTAATAAACGCTTTAATAAAGTTCAATTTATAATTTTATAAATGTGTAGAATATGCGATAACAGCAGCGATTTGTACACGCCTCATTTACGATACTATAAACCTTGAAAACTCGATTTTCATCATTTTCGAAAACAACTTTGTATATAATCATTACAATCATTCTCTCTTATTCTTGTAACATTAAATCCAAGATTTAATATTTGTTTAAGAAATATATGTCAAATATAATCTAGTTCGTTAAATGAGTCAGATTTTTACGTAAAACTGATTTAAATAGACTAATATGTAAAAACTGTTTGATATAAATAGACTACATTATTTCCTGTTTATTACTTAATTTAAATATTAATCAACAATATATTTGCTTTTCATGGCGTAATTAATTACAAATAATAACATTTCACTGTATGTATATATATATATATATATATATTGTATATATATATATATATATATATAGTCATCGAAAGACCTGCATACGATTTACATCAATCATTTGACATTTATGTAAAATAGTAAATAAACTATGTGATTTAAATTAATTAACGTGTATCAGTATTACAGTAGCACATTTGTCAGCATCTAATTTACATTGCATAAATTAATTTTACGACCAAAAGTTAATTTATATAGGAACATCGCGCGGGAATTGCAAAATGCTATGTAATATAATATATTTATCGATTTCGGTAAAACACTTTAACGTTTAATATTAAATAATTCCTTAATTAAATGAGAGACAAATTTGTTAACGAATCAGTCGCACTAACGATCATTTTATTTAAAATATGTAAATATATATATATATATATATATATATGTAATTATTAAATGAAAGATTTCACTACAGAATAAATTGGTGATTGCTGTTCCTTTTACGTTATTGTTATTTCATTTGTAGCAGTTAACAGTTTAACACGCCACATCAAATTTATTTTATAACAGTCTAGTTTTTTACCTACATTATTTGACCGCACGCGGATACTCTATTCAAGAGTTTTATAAGCTGCGTTTATTCAATTAACTTTTCAATCTTCTATTCCGCGACATTATTACGTCTGGGTCTCCCTATTCTAAAAGTTTAAATGTCAGTGTAAAATTTAAAAAGTTTGTACTATAGAATGTAATATAGAACTAATATTCAAAGAGCCAGATTAACTAACTTTTTATTTGGAAAAGAATTGTAGAGCACGGATTTTTATACGAAAATAGACATGAAATAAAAATTTCAAATATTTGTAAAATTGCTGTTTATTATACATGTTTCAAAGTTTGTTAGAAACTTAAATTCCAAAAAGTTACAATTAAGATCGTATTACGGCTGAATAAAATCAACGGTCGTAAAAATTGGACGCGGAAATTCACAAAACTTTATGTTCGCGTGAACGAAGTCGTTGGATGTAGTGTCGCGTTCGGGTCTTTTCGATTGCTACGGCATTTAACAAGCTCGCGCGATCTTTAACGACATAACATAGTAACAATGGCATATTATATTATTTTCCGCGAAATATTATTCCCGTGTCGGGTAGTATCGAGTGGTCGTGTTTCACGAGAAAGGTGATCGACGCGAACACGGGACGATAACCGCTGCGGTGGCGTTCGTGCCTCTTTCGATGTCACGAAATCTCATGCTTCGTAGTAATTAAATGTGATTTATGCAAAAATAACGGAAATACAACGCACACACATTGAACGCCAAAATAAGCAGGATCGTTACCACACTGTTTATGAGCTTTTGATGCAGCAAAAAAATAGAAATTTAAGTGTTGCAAAATGACAAACTAGATAGTAAATGCATTCTAGAAACAATTTTTCTCGTGATATATTCTAGATAGAAGTTTTATTTATTTACAACGTGATTAGTAGACAAAATGAAATTATGCGACATTTTCATTTTGCTTGCCTAAAACATAACAAATAGCATCGAATGTAAAGTATCAGTATCTAAAAAAGCAAGATTTTTGAAGAACAAATTGTGCCATTGCCGCCATTTTACAACTACAGAGAAGTTTTGTTACTATTACTTCTGTAATAAAAAATCACACGATTATTTCGCGAAATTGGCGAATTATACGGACAAAAAAAGTGTGTCGATGAAAGGTCGTACAAAAAAAATGTAGAAACGAAAGTTGTGACACAAGTAAACGAGTTAACGAGCTCCGGATGAAACCGTCATCCACAAAGTACCTGCCATTTTTCGTTCTCGAGAGGGATCCTTGCTACATATTTACACACTATATCCGCATACGCGCCCTTACACACACACACACACACACACAAATGTGCAAGAGTGAGTCCACGTGATCCCGACGAGCAGAGTGAGTCATTCCCTTCTCGGAGAGATAACTTTCAGAGGACGCGCGGGACATTTCAGCCTTTCAGGAGCTTTCAAGATGACCATGATCCGTGACACCAGTTGGGGAGCATCTGCTTTCTCATCCGCCTCTTTCGTCCCGAAGTCTCTCACTCTATTTCGATCTATTTCCTTCTCTCGCGCTCTTCTTCTCCTCTTCCTTCTCCTCCTTTTCCTCGTTCATCCCGTTCTGAACCATCTCTAGCGCGCTACCGACTTCTATTCCTCTTAAACCACTATAAACCGTTTTCGACATTGAACCGAAAGCAACTACTCGTGCACGGACGAGCGAGTACTCGCCAGCACCTTAACCCGACTATCAAGAGTCAACGTTGGAGTTGAGCGGGCATGTCCGATCTTTTCTCTCTCTCCTTACGGATTTAACATCAGTGCGAAAATTAGTCGCGGTCTTACAAATCGATTTAAATTATTGTCTGACGTTTGAATACCGTCAGGAGAACGTTTTCTTCTCCTC